ACCTACTTGAGTAGAAACATGGTTTTTAGAGCATATGTTGAGTTCCATGCTAATGATGGTCTGAGAACATCATTGGATTGTTGATCACATGTTGCTGGACAGACCTAGACCTAGATTCACATTTCTGGGAATCTGAGATCAGTGATAACCCTCTTCTTCAGCAGAGATAAACTGTTGGTTTTCCCAGTGGGGCAGTAAGCTTAATTTCTGGTGTCAGTGGTCTACCCAGCTAATGATAATACTTTTTTGATGCTAGGATTACTTGATTTATGGCTCTGTAGTTATATTTAAAAAGATGTGGGCACTTCCAGCTAGGAGAAGCACTGTGAACAAGAGATTTGGTTTTGGATGCATATTTGGGGACAGAAGACATGATGATTCAGCCCACATGGTGAGATACTAAAACTCCCAGATACACCAGATGGGCCATGTTGAGCTACATCAAAAAATATGAGTTCATTGCAGGGGTTAGTCTTTTTCACAAAGTGTCCATGTTTATGTAAATTTATCAAAGTGTTTTCTATATATTTACTTTAATATTTTTATCAGGGAACCAAAACTTGCTCTTTTCAGAACTCTCACATTTCTATAGTGCCAACAGTGACCCATCTAATACCTTCCTTCAATTCAGGGAGTCAGGTTTTTCAATTACAACTTCAAGCTCTGCAGCCATATGCATACTGATGAGTGAGAAATCGGTGGATCACAAGTATCACTGAGTTCAGTGGACATACTCCCAAGCAAATAATACTCAGAATTTGGCTGCATATATGTGTGATTCTGGTTCAACAAGCTTTTATATACAAGGTTTATAATGTTCAAAGGTAGGGTATAAAATATGTATCTGGGTTGCAAATCTGTCACAATTCTGCCAGTTCATATTCATTCATGTATTCCTAACTATAGCAGTAAAGTTTGTATTTGCTGCCAGCCTTTTATCTGGTAAAACTACTAAAGCTACTCGGATTGCCAAGGACAATAAATATTTAATCTTTTCCAGGTATTTTAACTATTCTGTCCTCCATCAACTGTTATGATGTGTTCAGTGTTTTTGAAATCACTTCTGACCTAGTTACTCAAGTTTATTTTAAAAATAAATCTAACCTAGTTATACATATTTATTTTTAAAATCAACCTGAATCTCTTTAGTCTAAATATGTAGGATGTTATTTGATTTTATTTTTAAGTGTACATTCTATGCATTTTTAAACATAAAAAAAGTTTAACAGGAGCTTTTCAGCAAACCCTAACTCCAAGTTCAACTGTTTTTTGTCTAAACGTACGTAAGATAGTACCCTAAATGGGGATATTATCTGCTTTAAGAAACAGCAGTTATAAATGGACCCCTAGCCTCTCATGTTAACAGCTGATTTGTTTTTGACTAGTGGCAGAGAAAAAATGTAGTATGTGCTCCCATGAACGAGGAAGTCTGTGATTGATTTCTGCTAGTCCCATGATCTATTTGCGAGGCATACTCCTGGCTCTTTTAAGTGAATGCAGTTGAATCACATAGTACTCTGCCAATTGTTTCCTTCATTTCTGCTATTAACAGCACTGACTGTGCAGTCTTATTCAGGAGCAAGTCCAACTGAGTAATTGATACAGGATTGAAGCCTGAAACATGTTTTTTCAGACACCACCTACCTCTCCACCCTCTCTTTTGTGAATGATTGCTCTCCTTAGAGTCCAAAGCAGCTTTTTCCATCATTCCCACACCTCCCTCCTTCATTTTACTACTCTTTTTCTGGCCCCTGATAACAATATAACAAGCTAATCTTGCATGTCTTCAGGTTAATGTTTTCCATAATGGTTTACTTGGCAATTTATTTAATATGTTCATATTTGAAGTGTAATCAGGTAATATATGGATGGTAGCCATAGCAAAAAATATGAGAGAAAATTAGGTAGTACCTTTGTAACTTACAGACTAATAAGTTAATGCAGATATGCACTATGCAGATACTTATTCAGGAACATGCATCAGTCTGGTGACATGCAGTTTAAACAACACTCCATGGCTTTTAATTTTTTCAGAGGCTCTAAAACATCATTTTTTCAAACCCAGAAAATTGCACACATGTTTATACTTTTTATTTTTTATGTCTTTCAAGCTTGCATTTTCATGGCTATTGATATTTCTGGTCAACTTCTTTGTAGGTTTCAGCTGTCAGAAAGGAAAAGTGGCATGGGATAGGTAACATACATCAAAGTAACATGACAAGATTGCACACAGGGTAACTTGCCTAAATTTGCCAGGGACCAGTTGCTTAGTTCTTGATTGAAAAGCACCAAGAAAGGGCCAAAGAGACAAGACTAGGGAGGCAATATATCCTCCTTGGCAATATGAACCTCTTGCTTTTAATTGCTAAACTGTAAGAACAACTTGTGCTGGAGCCCAGTTTGCTCCATCCTTTCTGCCAAATGTAAGGGCTCAAAAGTACCATAACTAGAATATTTTTGCAGTTTGAATTGAATTGAGAATTGAATTCTTAATTTATATATTTGAGAATTCAAATTTCTGTTTAAATTGAGAAATATACACAAATTTAATGCTGGGAAATGCACCTGCCTTTGCTTTTGGGTGCATATCCTTCTGCTGCTTCTCCCTTGCCCCTTTTGGCCTGCTTTTCAATTGACAGCTTAGTAATTGGTTTCCGGAAAATGTGTGCAAATTAGTCTCTTTGTCACCTCATAAATTTGTCATGTATATTACCTACTTCTTGATAGGACAGCTGAAACTTACAAGGAAATTGACCAAGGATGACCACATATATGGAAAAGCAGTAGCAGCAGACTTGCACACCTGGGAAAGAGCACCATTGCCCAAACAACAATGAAATGATGAACACACTTGCACCATTTTCTGGAGCCAAAATAAAAAAGGCTCCAATTGTACATTTTTAAGATTCTGAAAAATTGAATTTAAAAAATGAATAAGAAGCAGTTAGGGGAAATCAAGACAGGTTCTGTCACAAAGGATACTGAGGTACTGGTTAGAGAATTGAATAGGAAGGAGAGGAGAAAAAGCCACAGTAAGCTCAATTGCCTGTTAGAAGGACTGTGAGTTGTTCCATGAACAACCCACACTGCATAGCTTATTCATAAGGTGGCTAGTGTGCCATATGAATGTGGCTATTATGTCTGAACTGTGTGCCTTTTTATTTTGTCTGCATATACAGGAAAACACTTGCATATTTTTCTCAAGTGATAACAAAACCCCATGAATTTCTTTAATTTATGCAGGTATATTTTCTATAAAGAAAAATCTTTCCAGTATGTGTATGTGAACTCCATTGCCACTTGGAGATTAAAAAAACTGAATTAAAATTAAAGGCTTTTCATAGAGTGCACACCTATGCACATTGTTCACTAACACAATATGGTTTTCTCATGAGTACTAGGTTATATTTTTAGGGAAGGATAAGTTAGACTTCAGAGAAACGGTTAGAACATCTAGAACTATTTAGAGTAGAAAAAAGTGAGTAAGGGACAACATGGTAGAAGCATACATAATTATGTATGGTGTAGAGAAAGTGGATAGGGAAACCTTCTCTCTCTCTCTTGCCAATAAAGCAAGAGGGGATGTGGCTAGAGCACAAGTGGAAGAAAACTTGTGATGATTCTGAGGCAGTTCTTTTCCCAACAGCATTGCATCTTCTCAGTGTCATACAGAGCTTTTCAAAATGGTTTGTGACCTATTATATTCTGGGCCAGAGAAAGAAATTGTGGAACCCTTGGTAGCTTGCTGTGATGAATTTACACAGCACTTTGAAGATAAAATCACTTGGATCCATCAAGAATTGGACACCACAATTAATGCAGTTATGTCTACAGAGACATCCAGAGCACCATCTTTGACCACAGCCAAGTACTGTTCAATAATCTCTACAATCCTCTGTAGAATTAATTCTAAATGCTGTTAGATTTTTAGAACAATTGTATTTTCCTTTTATTAATTAACTTTAATTTTAGAATAACTGTAATTTTCTTATCTTAACTAATTATATTTCTATGCTTTATTTACAGGTCAGTGACCAAATATAGAATTGACTTGACTTGTATTGGTTATACTTGTACAAAATCCCCTGAAACTATAATTTTACTTTATTTACTTTTATACACACAGTCCTTTCTTCTTCCTGTACTCTGTGTCAAGAAAACAGACAGACAGACAGACAGACAGAGATCTTGGGGTTATGATGCTCAGCCTGATGAAAATGTCAACCCATTGTTTGGTGGCAGTCAAAAGGGCATACGAAAAGAAATGAAAATAACCTGCCAAAATCATTTTCTTTACACAAATCTGTGATGTGACCGTGCTTAGAATACTGTGTGCAGTTCTGGTCATTGCACCAGAAAAGGATATTGTAGAGATGGGGAAAGTGTAAAAAAAAGGGAGACAACTAAAATGATGAAAGAGCTGGAGCAACTCTTCTATGAAGCAAAGTTACAACAGTCAGGATTGTTTAACTTAGGAAATAGGCAAGTAAGTAATTGCTGAGAAACATAAGTGAGAAGCTGATGTTGTACTTGTGGGTTTCCCACTGGCAGCTTGTTGGCTACAGTGTGAACATAATGCTGTGGACTAGATGGACCTTTAGTCTGATCCAGCACATCTTTTCATATGGTCTTATAATATGCTTATCAGAATTTCTCCTTCAAATATGAATTCTTTGTATGAAAAGCTCTTAGAATTGAGTGTACATTTTACAGTGTGTACATTCTTGTATGCAGTCATGTGTTTATATTTGTTTGTGCTTATGTTTTACGTGCATCAGCAAATGGTGACTAATAGCAGTAGTTTCCAGTGGGTATTATGAGGAAAAAATAGTGTTTGCATATAAAGATGAACATATGCATTTCATTTCATTTGTGTATGAGAAATAATGCTTGTGAAACACTCCATATAGGTGATGTAAATATAAAGTTCTCTGCTAATGGGGACAATAAGATAAAAATAACTATAAAATACTTTTCTGTATGTCTGTGTCTCACTGCAGGATGACGTAGCCTTGTGAGGATTTATCAGCTAAGCAGAAAATGAGCTTAACATCCTGGTTTTTGGTGAGCAGTGGAGGCACCCGCCATAGGCTGCCACGAGAGATGATTTTTGTTGGAAGAGATGACTGTGAGCTGATGTTGCAGGTAATTATATCTATTCTACAGACTTTAAATGTTGAAAGTTTGCACTCAATGCCCTAGATACATATTTCTTTTTGAGGATTATGTTTTAAACAAGTATTTTGCTTTCCCAGATTTTGCTTCTGCTAGGAATTTAATCATCGTCCTTCATACCACATAAAAGAGTAGGCAATTGGTCTGCACTGGCTGTTCAGTGATAGTCACCTAAATTAGTGAGTTCCTGCACATGGCATGACTGTAACTTCTCTGATGAACATGTTGTACAGTGGTACCTTGACTCATGAACTTAATCCGTTCCAGGACTCTGGTTATGACCCAAATTGGTCATGAGCTATGTTAAATTTCCCCATAAGGTTCAATGTAAATAAGGTTAATCCATTCTGTAACCATTTTTTAAATCAGAAAAATGTGAAGCAAAGTGACAACAACAAAGATTGTGACCATTCCCCCACCCCCCGAGCACAAGCGTGGCCATCTCCCTGCCCCCCCCAGCACGACTGAGATTGCGCCTATCATCCCTGCAGGCACCCGTCATCCCAGCGCGCTGGGGGGGTGGGGGGGAAAGACGGGCGCGAATGAGGTGTACTGGGGAAAGGAGAGATGGACGCAAATGGGGTGCACTGGGGGTGGGGAGATGGCCGCGATCGTGCTTGTTGTGGGGGGGGGAATGGCCAAGATTGCAGCTGTCTTTCCTGCAGGAGCACGCCAGTGATCATGCATGTCTTCCCTGCATGAACACAACTACGATTGTGGCCATCTTCCCACTCGGGGTGTGGGGGAGATGGCTGCCATCTTGGTCGCCACCCAATGCAGAGTTCGCGACCCACGTCAACATTTTCATGAAATCTTTGTTCGCGACCAAATTTGGTCGTGAACCAAGGCATTCGTGAACCAAGGTACCACTGTAACTATATGAGTATGTAGGCCTCAGAGAATTCTGATGATGGAGTGAGCCTTCCTTTCTACATGCTAAATTCTCAGGCAAAGAGGAATATGTGTAGCGGTAGGAAGGTATTTGGAAAGTGATATGGTTGGCCTATAATCAAGGGGACATGGGGGATAGCCTGTCCCTCCTTACATTTTCTCTGCCCCCCTTTCTTTTATAAACAGTTAAGAAACAATTTAAAATCGTGTCTTTAAAAGCCTAGAACCTGATGTCTTTTGGTGCACTCCCCCTAAACTTTTAGGCTGATTACTGACCTATGTTATTGTTGCTGAGGCCATTCCTTATTGAAGTGTGAATGCTGTATTGGGGCTCCTAGAAGATGAACATTGCAGAAATATGAATGCCTGGAAAAATATAAGGAAATCATGTTTCCTTTTTTTCCCTATCTCCAAGGTCTAAAACAGAAAATATGCTTTCAAGAACACTTGAAATGCTCAGTCAGAGTGGTGAATGAAATACTTTATTCTTAAAATACAAGGGGCAGATTTCAGAACAGTGGTGATGTTTGCTGCAACACAAACATGAAGGGCATAAGCCTTTGAACTCAGACGTTTAGGAATATCTGATGTGGAGCAATTTTTGCTTCACCACATCTCTTGCTCTGCAATTCAGCCATCTAGCTGAATTGATTTGGGGTAGGGGGGAGGCTGGATCACCACCAAGATACTTCACATCCTGACAGCCTCACTCTTGTCTCCCTGTCCTCTTTACTGCCTCTTTATGGTTCTGTTCATGCCAGTTGCAAGTGGGGAGAGAGATTGGAGCCCAGATCCAAGTTCCAAGATTGGAGTTCTGTTTCTGACCTCAGATTCGAATCTGGGGATCCTGGGGCCCCCCATAGGTCATCTAGGGGTTTGTAGTAACACTGTAAGAGTCTTGTGACAATAAAGGGACCTGTAGCTAGACATTGATGCTACAATAAATGTGGTGTTCAGCTTTTTAGACCTCAGGTTCATCAAATCTTAGACCACAGAGCTATGCATCTCAAAAGTGCCACAAGACTCCAGTTCAATCTGCTGAGGATCAGTTATGTACATAAAACAAGGGATATCACAGTGATGATAACCCTGCTATCCCACTTGATTGTTACTAAAGTAACAGCATGTGGTGCTGGAAGGGAGTTTTCAAATGCTGCAAATTGCTGAACATCTCGTAAGTTTTGCAACATGGAAGTGAAGTTTTGTCACATGGGGCAGGGCTGTTCTACAGCGATAGCAGATGACTCTTGTTTCAAATATGCCTTAGATTCGTCCATCTTTTGTATTATCACATGAATGTAATAGACAAATATTTTAATGTAGCAGGTACAATGTCAAGGAGCAAACTAGCATGTGAAAGAGTTGACAGTTATTTCCATCTGAGCAAACTATTTGTTCTATGAAGTCTCATGAACTTCAAGGTTCTGAATATGATTCTATGGAACATGCAGACACTGTTTCTGATTACAAAGATAAATCTGTGCTGTGGCATTTCAAAGCTTTATTTTTACTGGATGGAGCGAAATATAGATGTATTAAAGTAACATTTAGCCATGGTTATTTAGATGCAGTTACTAAGGCACATGTTGAATATGATGATCAAGTAACATCTATTCAGTAGAGTTACATGGTAGAACTGCACGTTCATTTTCTACTATACCTTAATTATCCTGCAGATTAATTGTTCATTGAGTTGTTTCTACAGGGGTAATAAATTATTAGATAATTTTTTGAAAGCAAAGCTTTACATGCATTAAAAATAAGCAAGCAACAGTTAAAATATATATTAAAGGCCTGAGAGAATTTAAAAAAGAACTATTGCCAAAGAAATCAGCAAGGTAGATGTTAAACAGACCTTAGAGAGACATTCTACAGTTTGGGGCCGCCACAGAAAAGGCCTCACAATAGCCACCCATCAAACCTCAGTGTGTGGAGACACTTAGATCAGGGCCCCGGATGACAGTCCTTGGGCATGGGCAGGAACAGAATAATAAAATGAGTTGTTTCTACAATTGATAGATAATCATGCTACTTTATGTGCCAAGTATTACAATATTTTTCAGGTAGGATCCAACATAGCTACTTTGTAAATGGAAGGAAAGTTCACTAAGCCATTTATCTTGGATTCCATTATTTATATTTGTAAAGTAATACTAGACTGATTAAGAAAGTATAGTGTTTATATTCCAGTATAGTCAAATGTGATAGGTTTTGAGTGGGGAAGCAGGATAAAAACTTTTTTCAAAATTCAGGAAAGTTGTATACCTCTCGGCATATCCAGTGCTGCTCATGTGCCCACAGGATCCTTACTGGATTAATCCCCGAAAGAAGCCGACATTCTAATTTGTAGGATGGGAGAGGGCAACATGAAAGGACTCTTTCTTTTGTTGCATTAATGGAACAAAAGAATCCCACTAGTGCAACATAATCAGCAGAACTGCTTGGGTATCTTTGGATACCAACTTCTCCTTTCCTGGTTTCTGAAGTAAGTGTGACTGTGACTGAAAATGTTAGAATTAGATTCTACTCCGCTGAAATCAGAATTGTCATGATGATCTTTATAATTATAAATCAACTATGCAGGTAATAAACATTGGATCTAAGTCAGTCTTTCCAAAAACAGTGCTCAACCACATCTGGATAACAATTCTTTGGTATCTTGTTGCTGGTTGTACAGCCTTAGTTAAATGAGTGTTCATAGACTTTTTCTCAATTTGGCTTACTTTGCAAGACTGGGTTGAGCATGAGAGGAAGGCCTCAAATACTAAAGGAACAGATTCCACCAGGGATCATCCTAACCCTAGGTCCATGTTTGACAAATGGAAATATTAATATAGGAAAACAACTGTAGGTGGTAAATCTCTCATGGAATGCTTAACATAGTGCTAGGCAACTGGCAAGTCCAGAAGTGCTATACTTAGTGTGCATGTGTGGTCTTATGAGCATGCAAGGAGCAGTACAATCTGGTCAGCTATAATCAGAATAAGATGTGGGAAGCAGCTTTGGCAACTCATGAACCATCCAGGCATCACACTGGAGTAACTTCTTCTATTTTGTTTATTGATAGGATGAGCATCTCTTTGTTGGCAGGTAAATTTTTACAAGTATGTGGCCCATGTGTAATGTTGCTCTGTGGGCCTCCTTTGCATCAACACTGCCTCAATACTCGTAACTGGATGATAAGTTGCTGAAAAATTGCCCCAGATAATTCTGAATATAACCCATGACTTTCCCTCTCCACAGAATAGATAACCACAGCCTCATTTCCCACACAGAAAATGGGATTTATCAGCACTACCTAGCTCAGAATTAATCAGCACTACCTAGCATGGCTTTTTAACAGGCAAACTGGTAGTGAGAGTGAGGTTTGAACCTTAAAATGATGTGCAAGCTTAAATGCTGATGGAGGGAAACTGCACAAAAGTTGGCTTTGATAAGAAGGCATGAAAAGAGATAGTTCAGGGAATGAATTATGTAGGTGAAAGAGAAAAAGAATGAGTTGAAAAAGGGCTATAACAGTTTCGTTTTTTTCTTGCAGGGACAAAATATAACCTGATAGGATCTCTAGGCTAATAGATTTATCCCAAGCAATGTATGCAAAATAGTTCCATTAAAAAAAAAAAGATTTAATTTACATAAATATTTTCAGGTAGGCACTTGTACCTTCAACATTTTGAAGAAAGTTATAAGGAAAAATGTTCTATGGTGTCTTGTGTCATTTTTTAACAGAAAATTTTCTAATAGTGTGCACATACATATAGTCTACACCCACTTGCTACCACACTGCAGAGTTTCTAGAAGTACAAGATTAAATCCAGAATAGGCAGTCATTTTACCTAGAGTTGAAATAACTGGTAGACCTATTTTGAAAGCTGCAGATATATATAGCTATATCCTTTACATACATGCATACATATAAAATATGCATGCGCACGCACATATAATACATACATACATATATATATACACACACACATATATACATATACATATATATAGGACAGCTGTATCTACTGTATTTGCATTTGCAGAATGTTTCAAATAGCCTTGGGGTGCAGTCTGCAGAGATGAATGTGAGCTGCCAAACTTGGAGGCTCACTCATGATCATTCCATGATGGTTCCATGCAGAGTGGGAAGAGCAGTGAAGGCAATTTGTGCCTCCCTGTCCCTCTCACTCCACATTTCTCCATCAGGAAACAGCACTTCAGAGGGAGAGGGAAGAAGGCTAGTCTCCTCTTCCCATCCTCCAAAACACCCCTTCCTACCCCTCTCTGAGCTTACTTTCCTGAACTTGGAGAGTAGCCAGTGCATTTCTTTCCATGCCAGTGGGGGAAGAGTTTCAGGGCTGTATTCCCCAGTTTCATGGTTGGAACTGGGAATTTGAAGTACCCTTTGGCCTCTTAGACAGTGTCTAGACTTCATACTGTAGGGCTTGCTTGTGTGCATGAAGGACAAAGGTGAGGCAATACACACATGTGTGGGCATGCATGTCCATGCACATATGTGCCTGTGTCTGTGGTAAAATAATCCATATGCATGGGTAAAATCACCTGAAAGGCACATTTTAAATGTGGGGTATCTAAATCCTAGGAAGGCCTCAGCGATGATAGGCGGCCTATCAATACATGTAAATAAATTAAATTTTAAATTATATGACATTAAAAAATGTGAGACTTGATCTGTTGCTCACATACAAACTAAGGATTGTAAGCCAGGAGCAAACCAGGGAGCATCTGAGTAGAGAATATCAAGCACAATGAATGCCTCTTCATAAGCATTTGCCAGTCCACATATTCTTACATAAGTAGGCTTGCATTTTTCCACAGCATTATATGTATAACTGCTGCTGTTTTAATGTGTTTCATTAAAGAAAATAAAAGTAGTTTTGTAGTGAAACTTGTTCCTCTAGATGTATCTGGATATGTGATGATAATGTAATTTTCATTTTGAATTAGAATTGTCTAAAAGGGAGCACAATTTTGTAGCTATATATTAATTCAGCACAATTATAAATGATTCTTAGATTCTATTCAGATGATCATCTGAAGAGTAAATATTCCAATTTACTTTGTTTTTAATATTTATAATACCTTCAGTACGTAAGTGTGGTTCAGAGAATAAGAATGTTTGTATGGACCTTTTCACTGTATATTGCATTGATGAAAGTACCACTGTATCTTCTGAATATTTCAGTCACGTAGTGTGGACAAGCAACATGCTGTAGTCAACTATGATGCCTCTACTGATGAACACTTAGTGAAGGATTTAGGCAGTTTAAATGGGGTAAGCTAAAGATCACTCTTTTCCCTTTTCAGGACTTGTACTACAGTTGATCAGTTCCAGACTGTTCTAAATAAGTGTTTTGGTTACTTTGTTATGTTATTACATATGGAGATAGAGAAGCATATTTGAATATTACAGCTTATTTCTTGGAATATGACAATTTGAGAATGCTAGTAGTCAGGAAGATTTCCTAAGTGATTTGTGGGAAATTTGCATGAGTATTTATAAATGTTTTTTCAGCTGCTGAATCCAAATATATATATATATATATCTAAGAGGTGCATTTCAGTATTGACTCTGAAACCAAAGGTGGCAGCTCTTTGAGTCATATGGCTTAATCAATATTGATACAATTTTTGACTGTTGTATATTGCAAACTTAGGTTGAAAAATTACAAAATGTCAACTGATTGAAACAATTAGGGGGTGTTGGACAGCAATACAAAATCTGTAGAAGATATATGAAACTAAATGTGCTATAGAGCATTAAAAAATAAGATTTGGAGTATAGACCAGCTTTCTGTGACACTGATGCTGGAAATGGAAACTGAAAAATCAAGAGAGCTGCCAAAATTACATGTTAATTAGAACTGAAATATATGCATCATTTTCTAATCAGAAGAACAATAAACAGCTTACAACTACAGAAGTAATACCTAGTATTACCTTAAAACAACTCTTTACAATTTTCAGTTACTATATCTAACTTTTATACTGACATGTTGAGTAGGACTCATATTACCATTTGGCAGATGTCAAACAACAGTTGTTTTTCCCCCAAAAAAGTATTCATGGAATACTCCTGGATTTCTTTATTTTTTACTGAGCAAGTAAGCTGGAACATTATTTTGAACAATTGAATAGTGGTTTGTGTTGCTGTGAAGACTGAATTAGTACTCAGATGTTCATGATTGCTAAGTTTAATACTACTTTTTTTCCTTCCAGACATTTGTGAATGATGTACGGATTCCAGAACAAACATACATCACCCTGAAACTTGATGATAAATTGAGATTTGGATATGATATCCTTATTACAATAATGTGTTACCATTATTATTCACTTTAAAAACAGCAGCTCTTGATCATATTGAAAATTTACCTATTAAGTTGCTTGGGTTTTTTCTTTTGGATTAATGTTATCAGTTTCTCTAAGTATTTATAAGAGGATAAAAATAGCTATAATACTTCAGTATGTACAGATGAAATATTAGAAATGTATGGATTGAAAAAGTATCTCTGAAGTTATTAGATAATTAAAAATAAACCATCTTGTAGCATGCCTTGCAATAAATATAGTTGCTTTGTTCATTGTATACGTCTGTCGTGCCTAATGGCTCGACAGAGACATCGACTCGTGAGAAAGAGTCAAATGTTCACAATGAGAATCAGACATTGGAAGAAGGGGACTTATACTTGGGGCCCAGTAACCAAACGGCCCCTCTGCGGCCTGACTCTGAGACGGCTGAGCAAATAGCCTCCCCACAGCCTAATGATGAGGCTTCTAAACGGATGGCTTCTCTTCATCCTGATGCTGAGGTGCTTGAACAAGTTGCCCCCCCCCCCACCTCCTGACTCTGAAGCTGCTGGGCAGAGTTCAGGAGACCAAGAAGAGGTGACGCTAAATTTGGCTGACGCTCAATTTAGGAGGAGTTTACGGCGTCTGGAACGATTGAGAAGACAGGACAGAGGTTTGTCCCACCCACGAGTGGAAAGACGTGACAGGACAAGCTAATCCCATGTGGGCTGCTCATATACTTCAGAAAGGAGGGAGCAACTGCGGTGCTAGGAGCTCCCCGCTAGAGCTTATCTATTGCATCGTAAATCTTGTAGAAAGTAGCAATAAAAGTATTTAGTTTTATGGCCGGCTGCTGTGTGAGTTAATTGGAGATGTGAGTTATGACCTCACGACAATGTCCTATGAATTTGCCAAAAATGAAACTAAAGTTCTGGAACTAAGTATAGTTAGGAAGGAGGATGTACAGCAGCAGTGCAAGGTAGCAGACGTTTCGACCACCCAGCAGCAAAGACAAGCTGTGATTCCTGTGCTGTCCTCCTCCAGTTTGGACCCAGATAAGGGAAATGGTGAAACTGGGAGCTGAAACAAATCCAGGTTCTGGTCCATATATGGAGAAGGAGCAGAAATCAGCTTCAGAGCTGGGAAGAGCTTCAGGCTCATCTCACGTGCCACTTGGGCACCATTATCTGTGTCATCCTGGCCAGCAGAAAGGAACGGTGGTGGTTATTTCTAGGGAAGTCTAAGAGTCACAAGAGCCAATCTTCCTTTTTATCCTAGCATGCTTCAGGTCAGGATGACACAGGGAGGGTGGGGAAGATGACAAATTAGTCTCTCTCCACAGGCTAGCAGTGTTTCTGCAGTCACTGAACTGCTAAGCAAGATAAGTGAGCAGTTGTTTTGGGAGTGGGGGTTCTTGAGAAGTATGTTTTGGAGAGTGGAAAGGACAAGGTAAATGAACTTCTGTAGTTCAAAATTTTCTAGCTCAAGAAGTTATTAAGAACTATTAGAGGTTTCCAATGCAATTAGACAAATGTTACCACTTTCCTTATTGCATCATACATACCAATCTTTTTACTGTAGTCAGAGGAGAGATGAGAGTCCCAGAAGAAGCACTTAAGGTAAAAGAAAAAAAAAATCTGTACTGTTTCTAGGCTTAGACTGTGAAGCTAAAGGGTGCTTCTAAGAAGCATCTCCAATGTATGCATGCACATAAGGAGCTTGTGGGACTATTGCTAAAATTTTGTTTGTAGTCAGATTGCACATATGAAAGCTGCCCTATAGTAACCTTGCTTGGGCTACTGTGAGCAGTTGCATGAACAGCCCACCAAAGGAGGTGTCAGTTCCTATTCTTGAAGCACATGTAGGGGACACTAGATAGTGAATTTACCCAAATTACAGTGCTACCTCGGCTCATGGCCAAATCAGGTTGCGAACAAAATTTCAGAAAAAAATTGCCTCAGGTTGTGACCTCCGCATTGGGTGACGATCACAATCGTGCCTGTCTTCCCTGCAGGGGGGCGAGTGGGGTGGGGGGGGGGGGGGGGGGGGGGATGGCCGGGATCATGCTCGGGGGGGTGGCCATGATCGCGGTCGTGCTCATGCAGGGAACACGGGTGTGATCGTGGTTATGCTCGGGGGAGATGGCCGCGATCATGCTGGGAGGGGGGCGGGGATGGCCACAATATTTGTTTTTCTTTGTCACTTTGCTTCACATTTTTGTGATTAAAAAAATAGTTACAGAACAGATTAACCTTATTAACATTGAACCTTATGAGGAAATTTGACTTGGCTCATGGCCAATTTGGGTCACGACCAGAGAGCCAAGGTACCACTTTATATTTGCATAGAAGCTAATTACATTAAAATAAATTATCTGATGGTTTGCCTTTTCCAGTAGCATTAGAATCAAGTACTGGCCTTGTTTGCACAATAACTGCAGTTTAAGCAAACTTGTTTAAAGCAACGGCACATGCTGGGCACTGTTTTCCTAATTACTCATCCAGGCATGGTTTGTCAGGTAATCCAAACCAGAGTGGCTGGGCTTGTGGTGGTGGTGGGTACAACCCTCAAATAATCCAAGAATGCAGTAGCGTACACGACCATAGCTTGTTTAAGCAGCAGTCAACATGCAAAGTATTTTAATTTTTTTGTAACTAAACAAGATTATGTTCAAGCTTACTGAAGTTATGTTGCACTGCTTGATGAGATTGTATTTTAAACTCCAGCATGAAAAGTTTACAAGTCAACTGCAGTTATCCCAGAAATCCTCAGAGGCAGAAGGATCAAAAGTGACGAGTGCCAAAGCTGCAGAGCCAAAGATACAAGACACTATTGCTGAAGGACACCACAAAGCTATTGACGCACTGAAATCTGAAGAGAAGTCTGCAGGTAAGCAAAATGAATAGATCTGTTCTGGCCATTAAATATTGAATCTTTCATGTATTGCATGGTTAATATAAAAACAATATTCAGGTTATAATGTTAAATGTCATCCAATGTTGCCTCATGTTTGATTCTTTAATTTAGATAGGCAATAAGTCACTTCAATTCCATTTCTTCCTCTTCCACTATCAATAATTTGTGATTCTGAAATAGAAAAACAGGGCTGGCTCAAGGCATTTTGTCATTTGACAAGCTAAAATTCTGTCTTACCCACCCCTTTACACCTTGTTTTATGTGGAACAGTGTAACAGTGATTCAGCCATACATGAAATGTTTCCACTTTTAATTAATATGTTTAATGATGTAAATAACTCAGAATTTCTGTATTTGCATATTATAATCCAGCCCAAGAAATCCAACCATTCCTGGTCTCTTAATTAAAAGTGGCAATGCCTTGCACACTCCCCTCATCCCCAGAATTTTCCGAGTTAGACAACCCAGAAATTCCTGCTGTGATGTTTTAACCATATCAAAGAGATATGAAACAAGGTAAAGAACAAATAAAACTCACAGTGGTTGTGACTTCTGCTGGGTTGATTTTTCTAACAGAAAATTTCAGTTTATTTATATAAATGCAAGCTGATACTTTTGAGACTGAAATCTTGTGTATATGTATGTTTATGTGGGAGCAAGCTTTGCTAGGCAGAATGAATCTTCTGTGAACATACATTAAAGTGGTTTGTAAATTTCACACACATGGCAAGTGGTAGAATTCTATATGCTGTCAATGATAGCATCATGTGCTACTAAAGCAGTAAAATAAGTTTAGATTTGATAAGAAAGTAAGTATTACATATATTATTTTTCCCCCAAAATTTCAGTTGTCTCTTCCCCAAATGCCACTAGTGGAAAAATTGAGTTCAGTACTTCTACAAATTTTATGTTTGTCATTGCTTGTAAATAACTCAGAATTTGGAGTTATTTACATTGGGATTGGGAGTCGGAGGCACTGCTTTGCAGTGGTTCCACTCCTATCTCAACGGCCGATTCCAGAAGGTAGTGCTGGGGGACTGTGGCTCTGCGCCATGGCAGCTATGCCATGGAGTACCACAGGGCTCCATTTTGTCCCCTTTGCTGTTTAACATCTATATGAAACTGCTGGGAGAGGTAATCAGGAGGTGTGGGCTACGGAATCATCAGTACGCTGATGATACCCAGCTCTACCTCTCATTTTCCACCAATCCAGGTGAGGCAGTGGCTGTGCTGAACCGATGCTTGGCCGAGGTTATGGGTTGGATGAGAGCCAATAAACTGAAGCTCAATCCAGACAAGACAGAGGTCCTGTTGGTTGGCGGATCGGGCTTCAGAGAGGGTGGATTTGACCTGGCCCTGAATGGGGTTGCACTCCCTCTTAGGGACAAGGTCCACAGCTTAGGAGTACTCCTTGACCCGGAGCTTTCATTGGAAGCTCAGGTGACAGCGGTGGCGAGGAGTGCTTTCCTTCAGCTTCGGCTGATTAATCAGCTGCGCCCCTACCTGGATTACGACTGCCTGACGATGGTGACACACGCACTGGTGACTTCCAGGCTTGACTTCTGTAACGCGCTTTACGTGGGGCTTCCCTTGAAGACGGTCCGGATACTTCAGTTGGTTCAAAATAGAGCTACCAGGTTGCTGACGGGGACGGGGCGTTATGTTCACATGACTCCAGTCCTCCGACAGCTTCACTGGCTTCCCATTGAAGTCCGGGCCCAATTCAAGGTGTTGGTTATGACCTATAAAGCCCTAAACGGCTTGGGACCTGGTTACCTGAAGGAGCGCTTACATCCATATATGCCCGACCGCCCCTTGAGATCTACGGGAGAGGCCCTTCTCCGGGAACCCTCCGTGAAAGAAATTAGGAGGGTAGGTACTCGGAGGAGGGCTTTCTCTGCGGTGGCGCCCAATCTATGGAATGTGCTCCCCAGAGAGGTCCACCTGGCGCCGTCGTTATTTGTTTTTTGGCGCCAGGTGAAGACCTTTTTATTTAAACGTCATTTTAATTGTTAACAATAATATTTATCTGGCCAAGGCGACTTCTTTTCTTTTCTTTTATAACTTTTCTTTTATAACTTCTTTTATAGCGTTTATATATAGATAGATAGATAGATCGATAGATAGATATAATTTATTTTATATTATTAATTTTAATTTTATATTGTTATTTTTGTATTGTATTTTATTGTGTTGTAAGCCTCCCCAAGGCTTCGGCAAGGGGCGGCATAGAAATGTTCTAATAATAATAATAATAATAATAATAATAATAATTGCTGCTGTAGCAAAAGGTACAGAAAAGCATGGTCTATTTTTTTGCCAGAATTTTTTGATGCTTAATTTGAAATATGAAGTTCTGCTCTACTGCTTTTCCATCAGCCAGTCCAGAGAAGCTGCTGAAAACCTGGACGTTTTCTAGAAGCAGATTTAGAATGGGTAAAGACAAATTGATGGAATCAAACTAAAATCTGATCTGGATCAAAGTGTGCAACTAGTGTGGCTAGGGTTACACATTCTTGCAAGACTAAATTCACAATTTGGGGCCATTACTTGACTCAGTGCTGCAAATGAAATCATAGGTGATATCAACAGTTACAAGTGTCTATTTGTCAGTTGAACCTCTATTTGGAAGTTTTGCTTGATGGAGTGTGCAGCTGGCTTTGGTGCTTGTGGAGGCCAGGTACACCTGTTTTAAATCAGCTGCACTGGCTGTCAATCTGCTTTCAGGTCTAATTTAAAGTGTTGGCTTTGCTTTTCAAAGTAAGGGTGAATAACACTGGTAAGCTTGGTGAGGCAGGGCAATGTTTGAACCCTGATCACTTCATAGGCTGCTGTCTTTCTGTTACATCACTAACTACTAGCAAACTACCACTGCAAATTTAGGACAGTGGGGGTCACGCATAATTTGTGGGCTGCATGTTGCCTATTCCTTTTTTAAGCTATAAGTGATTTGGGATCAAGTTTTTCTAGAACTGTATAAACCTGCCCAGGGCCTATGATCAGCCTCTGAGTCCCTGTTTGTGGACTTAACATCAAGATGTGTTAGACTGGTAGTCACTAGAGACAGACCTTTTAATTGATGTCTCCAAGCTTACAAAACACCCTCCCTGGGTAGGTGTGTGCAGCTTCATATTGATATCTTGTAGGAAAAGTAGGAGGAAAAATGTTTAATATTATTTTACTGATACTTTAATGTTTTGTATTAAATTGCTGCTATTCTTCATTTCTTTTTCTTAGCTATACACTGCTCTATTCTTCTGATATTATTGAATTGTTACTTTATTACTATTACTTTCAGGCACATTTGGGTTTTGTGTGCTTCTATGAATTTTAATATCAATAGGAACCAGTAAAATATAAATACAATGAAAGTTTCTCTTTGATATGCTATGAGCCACTTTCAGAGGTTCCGCCATGACAGGTAGCACATACATATCCAAGGATAAGAAGAAGATATTGAGGTAGGTTCATAGGTTAGACCTGTTAGCCTTGCTGTTCCTCTCTGTTCAGTACTGGGATAGGGAAGGAAGTAAATAATGAACCATTCTTATTATCTTAGTCAATCTGTGGTCAGCAGTGCATAGTATTCAGTATTATTTATTTTCACAAAGGAATATGTATATTTTTCAAATTGATAGACTTGTTCCAAACTTGTTTATACAGAGCTTTCTGCCATGCCTCGGGGTACACCTTTATACGGACAGCCATCATGGTGGGGTGATGACGAAGCTGAAGAACACAATGGTTACAAACAAGATAATAAACCAGAAGAGAAAATACAAGGGACTGAAGTTTTAGGTAAGGTTATTAAAAAGATGGATCCATTTATAACTTGTAGCATGTCTTGCAATAAATATAATTGCTTTGTTCATTGTATACTTCTGTCATGCCTAACGGCTCGACAGAGACATCGACTCGTGAGAAAGAGTCAAACGTTCACAATGAGAATCAGACATTGGAAGAAGGGGACTTATACTTGGGGCCCAGTAACCAAACGGCTCACAACAGTTTCTCAATTTCCCAAATGTGCCCTTGAGTCCAAAAAATTTGAGGACCTTTGTCTTAGAAGAAAGAAACAACATTCAGAATAAACCTTGTAGGTTTATTCTGACAAAAAATCTGGGCAAAAAATAACATAAAATAATTTAGCACAGACCAGTGCAAAGTTCTTTATTTAGGAAAAATAAATCAATAATACTGGTATAAGGTGGGATCTAACTAGCTTGGCAGTAGTACAGATGAAAAGGATCTTGGATTCATTTATTTTTCTAAACCAATATTTCATCTTGGTCAGTACTCTCCTGGGTAACATTTGGATACGTAGGATTTGAGTGGGGGTTTAAGGTAGCTCCCAGATGTGTGGGGCACAGTTACCAGGATTCTTGCACTCACAGAGACCTATTCCCATTGTGCTCTTTTTCTTTCTGTTTTTCTCTCCCAGCCATTAGTCTCGCTATTTCTTGTCACCCCACCACTTTTTTTTTTTTTTTTTTTTTTTTTGCTCTCTTTTTTTTTTTTTTTTTTTTTTTTTGCTATTGCTCTCTTTTCTTTGTCCTTAGCATTTTTCTTTCTCTCCCCTTCTAGCCTCTAGCCTTGCCATTTCTCTCCCTTGTGGAATACACCTTTTTTTGACTAGGCTAGTCTCTATATTAGCCATTAGGTGGCCAGTCACTTTCTCTGTGGGAGCCATTTTATGGTAGAGCTCACAGCAGTTTCTCAATTTCCCAAATGTGCCCTTGAGTCCAAAAAATTTGAGGACCTTTGTCTTAGAAGAAAGAAACAGCATTCAGAATAAACCTTGTAGGTTTGTTCTGACAAAAAAATCTGGGCAAAAAATAACATAATTTAGCACAGACCAGTGCAAAGTTCTTTATTTAGGAAAAATAAATCAATAATACTGGTATAAGGTGGGATCTAACTAGCTTGGCAGTAGTACAGATGAAAAGGATCTTGGATTTGCAGTTGATGATAAACTGAGCGTGAATGAGCAGTGTGACATGGTTGCACAAAGACAAGTGCTCTGAGTCAACATGTTTACCTCCTGACTTCTGCATCAGAAGAATTCCATTATGATGAGAAATTATTGACTTGGTTTGCAACTCTTTAGAGTATCTGTCTGAAAATTTAATATTAGGCAAGCAACTTAAAAAAAGATGTTCATGTGTGGTACAAAACTTGAGATTCATTTATTTTTCTAAACCAATATTTCATCTTGGTCAGTACTCTCCTGGGTGACATTTGGATACGTAGGATTTGAGTGGGGATTTAAAGTAGCTCCCAGATGTGTGGGGCACAGTTACCAGGATTCCTGACCATTGGCCATACTGGCTATGGCTGATAGGAGCTAAAGTCCAAAACATCATGAGGGCACCAATTTTGGGGAAAGCTGTTTAAGGTTTTGTATGCAACCTCCTGGATGGATGTGTCTGTTTAGTTTTTTTCTGTGGAACTTTCTGTACTATAGAATTGTATTAATGAAAATTGATGTAAGTGAAATATCCTGTAAACAATGAGTCAGTTTGTCTATGAATGTCTTATAAAATGGTATTGAATTAGTAAGCAGAGTTTGGTTGGTTTATATTAAATTTGTTTAAAGGCCGCCTATTAGCATTATGCTCTCTGGGCAGCCATTACAATAAAATTATCAATAGGCAATATAAATAAAATAATACAATTGAAATACAAAAGATAATATGACATATAGATAATCAACAAGAATAAACTTAAGTTAGTAAATTAAAACCAGCACAAATTAATACAAAAACAGTAAGTTGTGTCATAGGTGTTCTAGAAAATAAAAGTTTTAGTCAGACACCTTAAATGCAGTAGAGTAGGTGCCTGGCAAATTTCTGATGATAAGGCATCCCGTCCTTGGGGTGCCACCTCAGAAAAAGTCCTCTTCCTTGCAACCTCTCCCTCAATGGCAAAACTGAATGTTTGGGGGTTTCTGTTCTTCTGACTTTGTGGGTAAGTTGGAGGACAGTTAAAGGGAACACTTCAACTAAGTTACAAAGACTGAATTGAAGGACATCCTTGTGTCTTTTAGTTGTGCACATTATGAAAGTTGAAGGGAAAAAACAAGACTTTTTGCTCAAGGATGTAGTGGAGGGGCCCCCATGGTGGTGGGAGCACCCCCACTTATTTTAGCAGGGGCTGTCATGGTGGTTGCTGGATTCCTAAAGCCAGTGTGTCCCCCATCTCTCAAGAAACTTAATTTTTTCTGGTTCATGGTTGGCAGTTACTACTGTGTTGGAGTCCTGAATTTAACAGTTTAAGAACAGGAGTGTACGTGTGGTATTTTTCTTTAATCGTTCCCAACAATTCCTGGGAATTGCCTATCTGTAGAGACCTGCCAGGCATGCACATGTGTTTTCTGTGGCAGTTTCCCTCATAGTTATCCTTTGTTCCTCAGCAACATGAGGTGAGCTTGCCTTTGTTGCTCCAGAAACTCTCCCACCCTACCCCCTCCATTCACACCACACATTTAGAACACTTTTATTTCACTTTAAACAGTCATTACTTCCCCAAAGAAACTTGGGGACCATAGTTTATCAAGGGTACTGAGTGTCATAAACACAGAGAGAAAGTTTCCACAGTTCCAGGGGAAGAGGGGTTGACTGATAAAGCCATTCTGGAAATCATAGCTTTGAGAGGCAAAAAGATGTTTTCCAGCAACTCCTAGCTTCAGCTTTATTTGGGAGAAATAATGGCTAAAGTAGAATAAAAGTATCACAACTGGAATATGTTCACAGGAATCAATGGGAAAAATTAGCTGTGACTTCTGATAGCCGTAAGTTCCTCTTACCTCAGAAAGGCAACTTTATGAATGATTCATTGTGGATCCAATGAGAGCACAATGAAAGATTATTGAATATCTTGAAAAAGTCAAACCCCTAAACTATGGACTCTTGACTCATGCAGGATCTCCCACACATGCACACATAAAGTCAGTGATTGCAGAGACCAGAGAAAATGAGCAGAAACAAACAGTGATTGTCATTCCTAACTGCTGCTCTTTGGCGTATATAACTGCATATGTTTCTATAAGTATGGGTAATTTGCACATGTGTTTCCTTTTTTCTGCTGTCCTCCCTGTCCTTTTCCTCTTTTACATAATAAGCCTATGGACAGGAACTGCCTTATTAATTACGTGTAAGCCAACTCTGGGAGCTTTTTGGCTGAAGAGTGGGGTATGAATTGAATTTAAAAAAATCATTCATAATAAGAAATAGCTTCTAGAAGCTGTCCTTGCTCCACCTCAAAAAGAGAAGCCCTTGTCTTGCATTCACTGCACAACAGGAATTCAAAGTGACAAAGCTCATTTTTATTATATAACCATAGGCTGCATAATCTTGTAAATAGGTGTGGCTTGGGGTGGATGGCTTTAATCAGGCGGTGGCTTTGAGTTATGGCTCTGACTGTCTTGAGGGAACTGCTCCACTGAGAAAGCCTATGCCACTGTCTTTATTTACAAACTGAGGCAGTACATGTAACTCAATGCACATAACTCATAATAATTTTTCCCAGTGAATTTCACATGAAGGATTGTCTATATGGAATATTAGAAAAATCCACAAGTAGCATTGGGCAGGAATTGATATTTAACTATCTCTGCAGAGATTATGTGGGTGTTTTTATCCCATGTTATATTTTTTGCATACATTCCTCTATTGACATTTCTTCACTTCATATACATGTTATGTTTGAATTTGTATACAGTTTGCTACAAGGTAAACAATTTATTTGCTTGGATGTTTACCAGAATCCCAAGTAGAATATAGTTATAACTATTTCATAGTTTACTATTCATAAATTAAATACAGCTTGCTTATATTATCAATTTGTAAGCAACTTGAACTAAGCTGTACCAGCATTTCAAATTACGTCAAATTTGATGTAATCTTCCTCATTTGCCCTGTTAGGAAACATGGCAATGCATTTAAAGTAAGGGAAAGTATTTATTATGCCAGATGGAGCATGGTTTAATTAGGAGATTTATATAGGAGATTAGTTACTGCTAATCCAACTAGATACAATTAGCCTTTACAGCCATAAGTTAATAAGATTACTTTTCATTACTATTTTGCAGCTTTCATTGAAATTTCTAACGGAAAACTGGTGAGCAAATTCAGTGGGTTCAATTCAAACTCTAACTTTACTAGTTATACTAATCTGTTTTCTGTGCCATAGATCCAAGAAATAAAGAAGACATGAATGAGGTTTAAATCACCTGGTACTGTTACTTTCAGTTTAAAGTAGTCCACTTTGTCACCTTCATTAGTTTCTTATGATATTTTTTAATATATTGTCATGTTGTCATCCTTCCCCCCCCAAGGTACTTAGCCATAGCCCAACATTTTTTCTGGATTTTTAATAGACATAAGGTTTCACTCATCTTTGGCAGTTGGGTCTGTTCTAATTTTATATCCAAGGGTGGTGAAGTCTTTTGTGAATTATAAAAGGTTGTGTATATAATATAATATACACACCTTCCTCACACTGGGGAAAAAATATTGCTGTGATATTTTGTTGTGAGCATGATAGAAATATATTAGTTATCCATTGTTTTATATCTAAAAATAATTCAGTCACTTGGTGAGAAATAAATTTATCCTTTCATAGCCTGTTGGTCCATTTTTAGGCTATTTGTTTGTCTGGGATAAATATCTGGAATATAGTTATCTAACAAAGCATTCTCTACCATAGTTACTTGCAGGTAAGTTAGCTATTCCAAAATAGTTTTCCAAATATTCAGAAGCATTCAGAAGCTGACATTTCACAAAAAGTGACACAGGAAATTTTTTCGGAGGTTGTGATAATTTATTTTCCTTAGTGGAAAGGACTTTCCATTTGTACAAGCTGAGCCTCTTCCATTCCCTCCCTTCCCCCCCCCCCCCACCTCAACCCTCTATGCTTATAGTCACTTGTATTTCTTGACTTTGCAACCCCTGAGAACAGCTTTTTGTGTGGGAAGGAGATTCAGTAGATATAGCAATCTGAAAATCTCATGCCTTGACCAGAATAAGTGTATTCCATTGACATAAGCTGCCATTGGATACCAGGCAGGATAGTTATTGAATTACGAGTATCCTACTATTTCCAGTCACAAATATGGTGATGTGGTGATTTTGAAGCAAAAACAATCCACTGAACTTTACTTGTAGTTGTCTTACTAAGACTGGTGCAAAAAAATCAACTAATTGAGGTGAAATGTAGATTAAAATCCATAATTGATATAAATATCTTTTTTTCTGCAAGTGTCAAATCTCTTTGATAGTAAATAAATGGGAAAATAGTAGATAAGACTTTTGCTGGTAACTAAAAATTTTCCTCCGGTTTCACAGTTTGTTTATTTTTATGCCCATTTGATGGGTGGGAAAGAGCCAAGCTAGTTAACTGTGATTGTGTGATGTGCCTTTACACTTCTATTTCTCAGTGTTAATAGAGGTACAGATAACCATGAATTGGGGTTTTCTTTTTATACCTCAGCCTGTCTAATTTGTCACACTGCAATAATAGGCGTGGAGTTTACACATAAGAAGGATTGTTTTGGATCAGACCAAAGGCCTATCTAGTGTTCTTTTCCCACATGGTGTCCCACAAGCAGGACATCCACTCATGTTCTCCACAAACTAGAAACATGCTGCCCTCATATACCTGAAACCATTATTGATGCCCCACCTCAAATGAATGATATAGACAGGGATTTTTAGTAAACATTTGCTTTTTGAAATGTATTGGTAAGTGAGCTCTATGATTGTTCATGATTACAGTCAGGGCTTTTTTTTTTGTCATAGAATGCACCGGAATGGCGTTCCGGCACCTTTTTTTCAATGGATTTTATGAAGTGATTTTGAACGGAGTAGCAGATCAGCAGCAAACATCAGTAACATAGTGCCTGCAGGCTGCTTTTGTGTCTGCTATCTGCTATCTGATAGTGAGACACAGCTGCTTGGGATGGCTTGAGATTGGTGTGTGTGCTTACTTCCACTTCCGGCACCTTTTTTTTTTTTTTTTTTTTTTACAAAAAAAGTACTGATTACAGCTGTCAATAAACTTGCAACTTTTAGTCCAAATGATTGTGAGATATTCTGAAACTACATATGTTAAACAGTTAATAGTATTGTATATCTTAAATTGTTGACAGTTTTCAATAAAAGAAACATTTTCCCTTAACTTTTGGAACACTACACTGAGTTGTCTGTTTAATGATGAAGAATTTAACAAGTTTTCAGAGTGAGTTGGAAATAAGTCATCAAGGAAATAATTTTCCTATACTACAGTAGCATTAATAAAAGAATAGTGCTGATACCATCATGTTCCATCTTCAACTGCTGACCTCTACTTAGAAACAAATAACTGAGCTGATGGCTATCATAAAACATCTCTTACTACTGCTGCACAAAATCCTTACGCTTCACATAAACAATCCTTTTTACTTTTTCAATTGAGAATCCATCCTGTCAAACTGCTACTCAGAAAACACCACACAGTAAAATGGATTTGATCAGTCCTTGTTCTTCCATGGATTTACCTGCAGGCCAGTCTTGCCTTCTTTACCCAGCTTTGCTCTTTAACCCCCCTCCATTACTGTTAACACATACTGCTCTTATCCTTCTGCTTTCTGCTCTGTGCATTTCTTGCTTGTTTTACTGTGCTGTCTTCCATTCCAAGCAAAAGCTTGTTTTCTTTTTCAGAAACCTGACCCAATTTCCTGGTTTTGAATCTGTACATACTCATGCACACAGAGGCATGCACACAGTTTAATTCCTAGGCAAACACCATTCCAGTCATATTTACCTAGCTCTGCATTGTATGTTAATTAAGCAACTGCCTGTCTTTTTGCCAATCAGTAGTGTAGTGTCGTGTCCTGGCAAAGACATTGTTTTGAATTTTTAACATTTTTCATGCTATAGTGCTAGAAAAGGTAAGGATATTGATCAAACCCAATTATTAAAGTAACTTTCCCTTTAAGAAGAAAAGTGATTAGCACCATTCCAAAGCTGTAGGAGTATCAATTTGGGCAAAATGCACATGGGGGTGGGGGGGGGGACACAGAGATACACTCAGCTATTCCACAGTTAAAAATCTCATGTTGGATCTAGTCATTCTATAAAGTACAATACAGAACCAGAACTGCACTTGCACAATAGGAGGAGGAGCAAATCAACAGAAGTCTTTGGAAGGAGCACTGCATGAAGAAATGTGGCTTCCATGCCTGCAATAGCATATTTACATCCAAGACAAACATATAAAGTATCCTAACTTGGATTTAAGGGTGCACTTTCATAAGCAAAAGTATGCAAGTTTTTGGTGCTAAATTAAATTAAAATTAAATTTTATATATTTTAACTGCTTATGGCAAAACCCTCTCTTTACATATTTCTATTAATCTGATCACTGGAGAGGAAAAATAAGGCTCTAATTTTTTAAAACTAGACTCTTTTCACTAAAAATGATCCAAAAATGTCCATTCCAGAGAAATAGTTCTAGTTCCTTTTTATTGTTAAGAAGAGATTAGACAAATAACTGAGAACCAAATTGGATTAAATAAAATTAGATTTTGCATTTTAAAAACTAAAGTAAAAAATGTACATCTCAGTCTTTTAAACTGAGGATGAAAATCAGAAGCTACCATGTACTAGTTCTCTTTTCCCTAACCAGTGCCTTACATTCCTCAGGTATAATGACAGCTTCACTATAGTAGCTTCATCACTAACTGGATGGTAAAATTAAATGAGGTTACTCCTGAAAAACCTGGTTAGGTCTGTTTGCTCTGCTGCCTGTTTCAAAATGCCTTTTGCATGATGTGCTTTTTTCATCCACATACTGTACACATTAAGAGATACCTTAGAAATGTCCTGCTATTTTGACATTCTCCCTTTTTGTTACTTTTTATGTGCATCTTAAAGTAAAGGATATTATTCACCTGTTGAAATTCACTTCAGGAGTACTTGCTTGTGTTGCATCACATCTTTGACAAGCAAGCTTATTATGCTAAATGCATAATGTTTTGCTACAAGCTCCACAAAAGCTTTAGTATTTATTCAGAATGTACATTGTGTCTTTCTTCTGCTGCTGCTTTCTTTGTTTCATCAAAAAGCAAGATAATTCCAAATTCTGCATGTTTCTTCCTGCTGTAGTAAATTTGTTTTAAATTTGCCTTCCTTTCTCCCTCTGTAATCTATAAATTGGATTTTCACAAGTGTCTTGAGTCCCTACAATCTAGCTTACTTGCTTGGTTCTCTCACTAGTAGAGATCTTTTAAAATCTTAAAGCCAGTTGCATATTGGCTTAGAAGCTCATGCAAGTGAAAAGTCAGAATTTTGGGGGATCCTCTCTTATGTATTCATTCTTGCCAGTGACTCCATTAAATTGTGTCACCATTTGACATCCATGAACCACTTGGAGTCCAAATTTTCGTCTACATTCTTAGTGAGCATTCTTTCAATTAGATATGCTTAATTTCATGCCCATCTTCAGTATGAAAATATCAACAGCATAGAAATGAGTTGCTGTTCTGGAACTATATATTCAGTCTTTCTGCACAGACTTGTATTTCCTTTCCAAGAATGACCACCTGGCTTTTATGTGAATTCTGAAATTCCTTGAAGACTCAGATTTCACAATATTGGGGGATTTCAATTTCTTTATTTTTCTTACTAGGATGCAGCACAGATGGCAAGCAAGCTGAGGAGCAATCTGCAGCTGCAAGTGAAGAAGAACCTTATCCTTTCTGTAGGGAGCCAAGTTATTTTGAAATCCCTACAAAGGAATTCCAGCAACACTCACAAATAACTGAGGGTGCTATTCATGAAATTCCAACAAAAGACACACACATAGCAGGGGCAGGGCATGCTTCATTTACTATTGAATTTGATGACAGCACTCCAGGAAAAGTAACCATCAGAGATCATGTCACCAAATTCACTCCGGATCAGCGCCACAAGTCTAAGAAGCCTTCTCCTTCTGGTGCTCAGGATCTTCCTGGGCTTCAAACTGTGATGATGGCACCAGAGAGTAAAGTGGCAAACTGGTTAGCACAAAACAATCCCCCAACAATGATCTGGGATGCAACAGAGGAAGATTCAAAAAGTATTAAGAGTGATGTTCCAGTCTACTTGAAGAGACTGAAAGGTAACATAAACAATTTCAGCTGTATTTCCTTTCCCTAGAATGTTCTATAGTAAGTATGCTAAATGGAACTGTATACATTCAGTACACTCTTGCCAGCCAGAAGGTTATTTAGTCAAAGCTTAACATTGTATACGATCTGTACATTTCCCAAACATTTCCTTTGAATACTATCGAATGCTACTTGCAAAACATTAAAAACACATCAATGTTTTGGTTACTCTGCAAAATGCAGGATTTCTGGTAAATTTTCATCTATAACTTTAACTAAAGTCATGTGATCCCTTGAACTAAATTACATTTAAAGCATAATCTATACATGTTAAGACAAAATGCCCTGACCACCACAGGTGGCTGAGGGGATGTTTGTGTTGTAGCAGTTCTTTCTGTCTAACATGCATAGAATTGTTTCTTAGTGATTATGTAATATTAAAAACTGGCCAGCTTCCAAAGAACTGCTCCTGTGATGTGGTTTTACACCTAGCTTTCTTCAATAGGGCAAACTGGTTTGGGAGCAGAAGGCATTGCTCAAAAGCAGTCTGTGCACTGTCAGAAGGTAGTAGTGAACTATCTTGGAATAAAATAGTTCACTTTATAAGTTCCCAGGTCAATATTAGTGAAATTTTCAAAATAAAGATTTATTCTACACTAAAAATAAACTTAGAAAAGGGAGTTAAAGAACATGTACCAAAACACATTCATGTATTAAAGTTCCAATGATAAGGATTTCAAACACAATCAGTACATTGATCATCACTGGATCTTGTTTTATTCTGCACCTTTCAGTCTTAACACTTTGTCACTGCTGTTCTGGCATACTGACTATATTGAAGATTTGGGGTGGAACCCACACCTATGCTTGGCCCTCTCCTCCAACATCTGTTCTCACATATTGGGTAACTAAGTAGCCAAGGAACAACTACTGGCACTATTTGCAACAGGCCAGAACTGGCCTTATCTCTCCTGGCACCAAAGCCTTGCATTTGCTGACCAGAATTGGTTATAGTTCAATATTGGGCAATACCTGGATTTCAGCCTGTGCCTGGAATTTGCTGATGGGGACCAAAGGGGAGGTAAAATTACACAGCAACTTAGTAGATGAAAATTGAGATATTCCACTGTTCTTATTATAGTAACACTTTGTTGATTGCTTCATGACCCTTCTTTACTCTGAGGGTTTCCATGAAGATCCTTTAATAAAATTTTGGTTTGTGTATTTTCAACCTCTTCAGTTGCAGATATTTAATGTTCATTTAGAACTCTTTCTCCATGCACCTAACGTGTGTCTTATTAATGATTTTTCAAAAAGGCTTAATAACAAAAGACTTATTTTGCTCTGTCTTTGGTATAATTCAAATTAATTACTTGACTGTAGAAAAAAATTACTATATGTTTGATAAATATTTGTTACTGCAAATAAAGAATTGTATTTCAGAAACCATAGTGTTGAATAGATCAAAACTGTTCTGGAAAAACAACTCCAAGCAGTGTTTCAGATCTATACTTTCAGGAGATGGCTCCCAGTTATAATGAGATGGCTTCCATTCATGTAACATCTGTAGAAGCAAGGTTTGTTTTCTGGCTCAGGAGATATTTGTAGCTTGCTGGACTGTATATTTTTATTATTTAGTTGCTGAGATCTAATTTCAATATAGCTGTTGTTGCACCTTCAGAGTTTGTCAGTGAACATCAATAAGTACTGAATGTTTTTCAGAACAAGACAATTCAAAGACATCCCTCTCACTGATTAGCTATGAAAAGCTCCATTGTTACATGGCAAATCTGAATGTATGTTGTTGTTGCTATAGGAAGCTTGCAATGGATAGTTGAGCTTCTAACAGAAAAACAAATATTGTCTCTGTTTACTTCACACTGGGTGATTATTTCCATGTTATTGCTGCTTATGTAGAGCTAGCTTTCTATCTTTTGTCTTTCCAGGAAATAAACATGATGATGGGACACAGAGTGATTCAGAAAATATTGGGGCACACAAGCATTACAGCAAACGGGCAGCACTTGAAGACCAGTTAAGGCATTATACTGAACAGAAAAAATTGCATGCAAAAGCACAGGAGATAGAGAAACATTCAGATCAACCTACTGCAAGTCAGACTGCTTTTATGATTGAGTTTTTTGATGAAGGTCATCCCCGGAAGCGGAGATCATACTCCTTTTCTCAAAACGTTGGAGCTTTGTGCCCTGAACCACCTTCCTCATCACCCCATACAAGAACTGAAAAGGTGAAAACTGCTGCAATTGACTCTAAAGGGAGTTCATCGCCTTTACAAAATAGTTCTACACAGCAAAGATCAGTTCATGCAAAATTATTAAAGCAAAAATCAGAAGAACCTTCTGCTGCATTACCTTTCTTACAGACTGCGTTGTTAAGGAGTTCTGGAAGCCTTGGGCACAGACCAAGTCCAAATGAGGACATGGAGAAAAAGTTAAAAAGCCAAATGGTTTCAGTGACTGTTGAAAAAGATGATGATGACCAAAGTGATAAAGGTACTTATACAATTGAATTAGAAAATCCCAATACTGAGGAAGTTGAAGCTCGCAAGATGATTGATAAGGTAAGCCATTTAACTCTTTATGCCATTTAATTTTTAATGCCATTATTAAAAATCCCTGTCCACAGCAGTGGCATTCGGTCACTAAGTACAATTATTGAAGTAGTACAGGGTATATTGATAAACAGTTCTAGAAAGATTCTGTTCACAAATGACCTGTTCATGGAGTACTGCTCATGATTAAATTTACAATTAATGCTTGTTTTCTTATGCTTGTTTCTAGTATGCAGAGCATGAATTATTGGATATTATGTTGATACTTTTGAAAGTCAGATTTTCAAACCCTTAATATTATTAATCATCATCACTATTTACATACACTGAAGAAGATGGAAATACTGATACTATGTTGTGAGCTGTTCAGTAGGTTTTCTTGTGTGAGCATACATTACTGACTTTGAAAATAAACTTTCCTGTTTTTCAAAAAGAAAATGGTATGAAACAAGGATTATATTTCCTGATTTTTTTAGCTGTCTTGGATCAGATTTGTGTTAAAATATGTTTAAAGCAACCATTTTAATTGAAAAGCTAATTTCTTAATCCTTTAAAAAATAATAAGTTGTACAAATCTAAAGTTGTAATTGGGAAAAGTAAATAGTGTAACAATGCAACCCTACACATGTCTACTCAGAAATAAGTTACATTGAATTCAGTGGGGTTTATTCCCTGGAAATATATTTTAGAATTGCTGCCTAAATAGTTTAAGGTGCCATACTATGGCAGCTGGACAGAGTCTTGAGAGCCATAGAAGAAGCTGGGATTCTATCTCTAGTTGGAGCCTGAATTTGGAGTGTTCTTGCTCTGCTTTAAAGTTGTAAGACATTGTAAGAGTCAGGTATTTCTAGACTTTCTGCAGGGAGAGCAGGCTTGCCAGTGTATGAAGAATCCTGGCAGCTCTTCAGCTTCACCTCCTTGCATTCCGGGACAAAGGACTTAGATGGCTAAAACTGACCTCCTAAGTCTTTTACAGGATGGGAGGTACAAGTTGGTTATCCTCTCCTGTGCACTTCTTCCACCCTCAGTAGATTGCCCATAATTTCCAAATTTGGAGGGCTGCAGGCATCCACACTAGATTACACTGTTCAAAGAGCAAGAACCCATGTCCAGTTTAAAATAATAGTAATAATAATCATTAACTAAATGAAATAAAATATAAGAACAAAAACATTAAATTTTAACAAAGTTATTTGTTCTGTCTCTATAACGTTTGTACCAGCTTTACAATGATATTTGCTGAAATACTATATCTGACTTAGCCAAATTTACTATTCCTTAGAATACTGCTTAATTTTCTGTACACCACCAATTTCTTATAGATTTTCTTTACTCTGTAATTTAGCAGTAATACTAGCTTATGTTTCATATTTGTTTCAAACTTGAAGTTACACTCAAGCTTTCATTTTATTTTTCCACCAACCACACCACATTTAAGGCTTGGAAAAATTATCTGACATTCCTTTCAAGTTTCTAGAAATGGAACTTGAACTAGATCTATACATGTTTTGTTTTTAAATTATTAACATTTTATTTTGGGATAAAACCTTGAATATGTAATTTTAAGAGTAAACTCAACTCATACTAATTGAAATGCCCATACCCTCAGTTCAGAAAACTGACCATTGCAAATTATATGAAATACAAAGTAAGTGTTATAGATTATGTCAAGTGGAATTTTTTTCCTTTGATAATGTGTGTTCTTGAACAATTGACATAAAAGATGTATAATACAGATGTGAAATCACATGAGTTCTTACTGATCTCCCATAAAATTAATAAATCTTAGTTGTATGTTGAAAAAGGGAACTGAAAGGTACACATTACATTATGAAGAGCAACATGGTACATTTTGTTATAGACATTTATGCTACATATTTAATGTCAAAATCTCTTGGAAGTTATTTGATGGAATACCATGTCCAACTGAATGAATGTCACAGCACCACTAGAGATGGACCTCATCTTCTTATCTTAGGCAATAACTTGCTTTATATTTTGGACATAGTTCAGATAGCCAAAACAAATCAAGGATGCTTTTTATCAGCAGAACATGATGCATTCTGATTTGAGTCCCTTTATTTTCCAGTGTTATATAGCAGATAACCTGAGAAGGAACTGGACTCCAACTCTACATAACATTTTATCATAAAAGCCAGCAATTAAATGTGCACACACTCTTTTTAAGTTATGAAGGGAGTGTATATTTTGTACATACTTCAGTCAAAATGAGAAGTAAGAAGTTGTCTTTGCCGCTTACTGTCTGAAATGCAGATGATTGCTGAATGTTGCCCCTGAAATTGCTCCAAGAGCAAAAATACATTTCCACTGAATGCAGGAAATCTGTTTTAAGGAAATGGTAGATTTCAGCTTCTATACAACAATTCTCGGTGGTTCCAGAAGTATGATGAGAAGATTATTGGTGCCAATCTGGTGTGGTGGTTAGTGTGTTCGATTGAGGACTTGGGAGTTCTGGGTTCTAGTCCCCACTCAGCCATGAAGCTCACTGGGTAACTTTGGGCAGCCACAGACTCTCAGCCTCCCTTAACAGGGTTGTTGTTGTTGTGAGGATAAAATGGAGCTATGTAAGCTGTCCTGAGTTCTTCAATAGAAGGAAAAAAGGGGGGATTATAAATGCAATGTAACAACAATAGCTCAGTTATTGAAGCTTGTCTACCAGGTTGGGCTATCTCCCTTGGAGCTGTCACATGGGAATAGAGTGGTACCTTGGCTCATGAACATAATCTGTTCCAGGACTCTGGTCGTGACCCAAATTGGTAGTGAGCCAAGTCAAATTTTCCCATAAGGGTCAATGTAAATAAGGATAATCCATTCTGCAACGATTTCTTTACTCACAAAAATTTGAAGCAAAGTGACAAAGAACAACAAAGATCGCAGCCATCTCCCCCGCAGCGATCATGCGGGGGGGTGGGGGGAAGCGGGTATGGGCGCATGGGGGAGGAGGCGGGCGCAGGCGTGCTTGGGCAGGGAACGTGGGCGCAATCTCCCCCCCCCCCACCATGACCCCGGCCGTCCCCCCCCCCAGCACGCCTGTGCAGGGAAGGCAGGCGCACTCGTGATCGTCACCTGATGCAGCGTTCATGACCTGCAGCCAAATTTTTATGAAATTTCTGTTCGCAACCTGATTTGGTCGTGAACTGAGGCATTCGTGAGCTGAGATACCACTGTATTTTACTGTATATCAGGAGCTGGAAACACTGAATTGTAGCAGCAGTTATGGCCAAAGTTTCACAGCTTTCTAAATTAGTGTCATGTTTTATTGTAGGCATGGAATTCAGTCATATGTTACATTTTGTGCTGTAATAGAACAAAATACATTAAAAGAAAATACCACTATTTCAGTGGATATAACTTACCAGCTTTGAAGTTCTTTCTCCGATGAGGGTGCTGCTTCCTCTATAGGATATGGGAAAAAACGACAGATCCTTAACTTTGCTGAAGTACCATTTCATTTTTTACAATCTAACAGAAAGAAGAGAGAGGACAATGAAGCAGCAACAATATTGAAACATAAAATAATCTGTTCATGGTAAAACAAAACATCAGTTTTTGTTGAATCATCCTTAACTGTAAAACTATAGTAGTATGTTTGGAAACTATGGCTTCTTTCCACTGGCTAGGCTATATATCCTAATTGGCTATTCTAGTCATCTCTAACACTCTGAATATGAAAGCATATGGCTCTCATATTCAGAATGTTAGAGATGACTAGAATAGCCAATTAGGATATATAGCCTAGCCAGTGGAAAGAAGCCATAGTTTCCAAACATACTACTATAGTTTTACAGTTAAGGATGATTCAACAAAAACTGATGTTTTGTTTTACCATGAACAGATTATTTTATGTTTCAATATTGTTGCTGCTTCATTGTCCTCTCTCTTCTTTCTGTTAGATTGTAAAAAATGAAATGGTACTTCAGCAAAGTTAAGGATCTGTCGTTTTTTCCCATATCCTATAGAGGAAGCAGCACCAATATTGAAACATAAAATAATCTGTTCATGGTAAAACAAAACATCAGTTTTTGTTGAATCATCCTTAACTGTAAAACTATAGTAGTATGTTTGGAAACTATGGCTTCTTTCCACTGGCTAGGCTATATATCCTAATTGGCTATTCTAGTCATCTCTAACATTCTGAATATGAGAGCCATATGCTTTCATATTCAGAGAGCTAAATTAACTTTTTGAGGCAGTATGATATGAAAATAGAGGAAAATTCTTATCTAGGAGGAAGGGTTTTGATAGTGGAATTTTTACTGTAGAGCTTTTGGAACTTTGAATGACCCCCCCCCCCCTTTCAGCATTGTGGCTTACATATCCTTTACCATCTAGCACTAAGTGGCAACATTTTCAGTTATATTTTGTGGTGTTTATTTATGGGCCTTTGGCAATGAGATGATTCATCCTATATTGCTGGAGGAACTAATTGGTTAACTGTTGTTGTTTTTTTACATATAGTGAACCTAGAGCAGTTGTATATAAATGTAGTAAACTAAAGTACCATTGTAGGGTGTGTGTTCTTTTTTTTGTGGGGAAGGAGGAGGATGAAAGATTCGTTGACTTGTTATTGAAGTAAATTATATCCAGAATAAATGCTATGCATTACTTTTCAACATTTCTTATTGTTGAAAGAAGAACAATTTCTTGAAATAGCTCCGAATCAGAGCTATAGGTACTTCCAAAAAATAACCATTTGTGATTATTATTTGAAACAAGGGATGGGGTGGAGAGGTATAACTTCTGTTGTATGTCTGCCAATAAAGAGGTTTTTATCCTGGCAGGACTGGTTTATAAGCAAGTCTGCTGCTGAACGATTTTTTTTATATTGAACGTTCCTGTTTGTTTCTTTGATTGTTGTATTTTATTGCTTTTTTAATTTACTTGTCTTTCTGCTATGTCCTAATTAAAATTTTGTTGAGAGTTAGTTGCCTCAAATGTCATTAATAGACTGAAAGATGACATATAAATTAAATACATAAATAAGGTGGCCAATTGACCTCGAATCAGATACAGCTATGAGTAGAAAGTGTAACAGCATTATACCAGCATGATAAAGAGCTGGGAAGGTGATGGTCCCAGAGCACTAAATATGTTGCGTACCATCCTTGTTACAGTTAAGGAATTCTGAGTTTCTAAGTCATAGAATATGGGTGTACTTCAATCATGACAGAAACAATTATTTTCCTGAGAATTTCACATCTTTTGAAATTACAGCTATTAATAAAATCGGAATCAATGATTTTAATGGATGAAGTTGTTTTCTGATGCAATATTTTATTTAGAGGAATGGGAAATGCTAAAGGCAAGATTTTCTGCAATACTTAAAGCATCCAAAGACAGAATCAAAAACAGCTGTAAGTACAGCTGTGTTATGGTTGACTTGGAGTAGCTCACTCAGCCAGAACATATCAATTCCATCTTACCCAAGTCCAAAAGACAGAAACCTCCCTTTTGCAATCAGCTGCAGGTCTTTGCTGAGCAAACTGCCAGGTCACTTGACACTGGCATTGCAATGCAGACGACGTGGCTGAGAGTATTCCAGGACCAAGCACTGACTCCTAGCAACACAATTCCCAAACCACCAAGTGCTTGAACAACAAGACTCTTCTAGCATCCACCTCAGAGATGGGGATGAACCATTACTGAACAACACAAGTAGACAAAAACACAGCAGACAAAAACAAAAGAGACTTTTCAAAAATCTCCACCCTTGGAAGGAGAGCTAGACCAAAAGAGATAAACTCTGCTGAGAAAGGAAGTGGGGCATGATGTCTTTCTCTTCCTGCAGAAGTTCCATGAACAATGATGTAAAGGTGCTTGTGGCAGGCATGCAGAAAGATTGTCTGGGTATAGTTTTTCCCAAGCAAAGGGCAGAAACAATGATACAGGCACCTGGAGGACTGTCCCATGAGTAGAGCAGGTCTGCAAAGAAGCAAGTAGACAGCACAGGGCTATGACAGCTAAATTGTATTTTTCCATTCTGTTCTTTACCACCAATTTGCTACTTTGAACTGCTTATTGTTTTTTTCACTGAAAGTGGTTTACCTCTTTAAAATGCTTATTATTGTGTGCTCCAAACTCTTAATTGATATTTTATCCTGTTTTCACCAACACCCAGATTGAGTGCTTTTTTTTTTGGAGGGAGCAGGGAGGCCCACCAGAGGCCCGCCACATTTTGGGGTCATGCTATGCTATTTCAACACCCAGGTTGCACACAATGTGTTAAATACAACTTGCAATCTAACTGTTCTTACTTAATAGAAGCTGCAAAAAAGCCCCAAAGGACTCCAGAGGGTTCCTTGGCAGTCATTCGCAAACGACTGAGTTTGCTTGGGGACTGAGGAGGAGACTGGGTTTATTTTATCTTGGTGATGGCAGCTGCTACTAGTGATCACTGCTGCACCAGATGTAATAGCCTGGAAATGCTTGGGAGCAGAATTTTGGGCAGAACGGTGCTGCAGTTGAATGCAAAACTCCCATTGCCACAGCTTTGGTAATGCAGTAGTGAAGGATTTATCCAATAAAATGCAACACGTCTTTGTTTAGAAATTGAGTAGCCTGGGAGTATTGGAAGCTATATGGAGAAGTGCAATATTAATTTTTCTGCATTCTTCTCTTAATTTTAGGAGTGTCCCAAAATGGAATTAACTATATTCCATGGGCTCCAGAATATATATCTCCAAGAGAAATACACATGCTCACAATCTAAATTTAGACTGAAACCTAAACAGTCACTTCAGGGTTTTTTACTTCCTTTTGAATGAGTGATCTCCATAACGTATCAAACTGTTTTTGATGCTTCCTCATATTTCTTTAACAGAAGCCCCTCGATGTCAAGTGGCAAGCATGTTTTGAAACAGAGGTCTCAAATACCTACTGTGCATGTGGAACTAGTTGTTCAGCTTGTTGGATCCAGGCCATAGCATTTAAGGTATCTTTACCAGTGCCTTATATGACAGCAAATAGCAATAGTGGAAATATATGAATGGATGTTGCAGTCCAAAACCAGTAGAACAGCTTCCTTAAATCTGAAGTCTCTGGAAACATTCTTTTTCTCTTAAGTTTTAAACTTAAGCAAATGAACAGAGCATACATCTCTGCTGATACAAGTAAACTGAGAGAAAAGACCTAACCACTTCTAACAGAAAAGGCATGGTATGACCAAAGTTTCAGAATTTCAGCAAAAGGTTAGAGTAAGTAGTTTCACAGATTAATAAGTGGACTTTGGAGATACTCTTTTGGGGCCTACTTCTGTAAAAGATAGGTTGGTTTTGCTCAAGATATTGTAGTCAATATTCATTATGTTAAGACGTTCAGGGTGCCTTCTCAAAATGAATAATTAGCAGCAGGTATTTTTTTTACTCTAGAAATTTTGTCACCCTGATGATAGGCAAGTATTTTATGCCAGTGAGTTAAATATCAATTAACAATAGAGCCCAGAATGGGAAGAACCATGCAACTAGCTCCCTGAGCTCAAGATGGAGTCTACTGAAAGCGGGGCTCTTCTTTCTTCTTTTCTCTCTCCAGCAGATTTGGATGAGACATTAGAAGAATAAAAAGAATAAGTCTTTTTATTAGGGTTTAGCAGGTAACGAAGCAATATTTTCTTTGAGAGATGGGATAAGTATTTGCTCATGTGAAGAGTTGAATCCAAACTTGCTGAAACATCCTCTTCTTCCCTCTTTTTCAGAGTGATTCTGGCTCCATTCTCAGGGTGGGTCTTGTTTGAGGGCTAGACATTGGCCACTTTTTAATTTGTCTCCTTACATCAATAAATTCCCACTCATTCTTCTCCCCACCCATTTCTGAAATGGTGTCTTCTTTTTCCAAGGCAGGCTGTTTATCATGCTTTATCTGAGCATCTTTCTTTGATAATTTTGGAACTGCAAAGTCATCTGCCCTCTGCCTTCTCAGAATCAGACAAATTTATCTGAGGAGACCCTAATGTGTGAAAGCTGGGCCCCTCTCTACAGATCTACATATTTTGTTGTTGTAGTTGTTGTTTTGCTTTATGGGATATTCATGTAGATATGCTGATCCTTTCAGAAGCAAAACGATCTTCATTAACAGGATATTATTACATAAACTTTGTGTGAAAATGCTTAATAGTGTATGTCCCATTGTTTAAAAGCATGTACAAATGCTTGAATCCATATAACAAAACCTTTTCTGCATCTTGCTCATGATAAAGTAAGTGTAAAGATTGTTGTCAAAGATGAAGTGAATAAAGATACCATTTGTTACCAAGAATAATTTGTTGTGGAAATGCTTCCAATTTAATGGGCAGCTCAGAAAAGCAGTGCTGTAGTGGCAAAAAAGAAGAAATATACAGATAGGGAAACTGAAAGAAAAATATATGAAGAAATGCAATGTCTGGAATATAGAGGGATCTAATCTTCCTGGGCTCATGCCCAGACATGGCATGGTATGCCAAACCTCCCTTTCCCCATGTTTACACATTTGGATGACTTCAAAGGAGTATTGATACATGTGACCAACTGCACCACCTCACGCAAATGGATAATGTCAGAATAGGATGTTAAAGATAAGTGGGAGCATTAGCTGGATACATTAGGCTGGAGAAAGCTAATGCAAATGATAGAGGAATGCAGTGATCCCAGAAGAAATGGGTAAGTGGTATAGGTAGGCTATAATCTGCACGTGTCAGTTACTTCGATCCAAATAATTGAATCCAAAACCTTTACAGAAAGGCCTTGGGCACAATTGAAAGCACCTTGTTCCCCAAGCAAGGGAGTTAAACTAGGTCAGTCCTGACCCTGGCACACTGATTTCTACCCCATTGATGTCAGTAGGAGCACAATAAAAATAAAACAGGCATGGTTGGGGGAGAATATCCTTTAGCTCAGTAAGCCATTGAGGTTGATGGAAAAGATGGTGGTGGAGAAGAGATGGTTCCTTTCCCACATGTATTTATTTGGCAAATGAGAGACAACAGAAAAGCAAGGAAAGATGGTTTTGTTAATATACAAAGAGGAGTTAATGTGATGATCTGTAGTATCAGTTGGGTTTATATTGGATCTATGCAAAACCTGATGATAAATGTTGATGCTAGCATTAAAATTCAAAATTTTTTGTACTTTAGCTTCATTCCTTGCAGAATATTCTCATATCTAAGTTCTTCAGCAGACTTCAACACTGCATCATACCAGCTTTAGGAATGGTAGGGCACTACCCATACATTCAAAAATTCAAAATGCAAAAGTTTCATTCTTGAAAGTTACCATTGATTTTCATTGTCTTGGAATGCTAACTCCTACATTCATGCCACACACCTATGCATTGTGGATATTTCCATTTGTGCTCCTTTTGTAGATCTACACATTATAGAAATGTCAATATTGGTTACATTTCTCCTAATCCCAAGCAGGAGAACCTTCCATGGAGCTTTGGCTATTGGGTGGTATAGAAATTTATTAAATAAAAAGTACATTCTTTATAATCAACCCAATGTTTGCAATAAACACATGTATCTTTATATATTTAAGCATTGTTCTAATTATTTTGTAGCATACCAAACACATCTATAAATTAAACCCATTTGAAGGTGTTTTTTCACACTTAGTCCATTCCTTTTTTATTCAGATTAGCCCAACCTTACAAAAATGATTAGCTAGTTTCTTTGAACCTTCCCCAAAAGTGATACTTATCTGCTCAAAAAAAAAATTCTGTAGCAATTTGGTGACAAGATTTACATGTCAGAACATGTTGTTAAAGCTTAAAAAGAAAGAACTGGCATACTGATTTGGTAGTGGCACTACCCATACATTCAAATTGAGTATGATCAGGAAGGCTTTAAGTTAATGTGTATGATGATTTGTTTTATTTTCAGGTTTTTGGAGTGGATGACAGCCAGGATTATAATAGGCCTGTTATCAACGAGAGCCAGAAAGATTTAGTAAAAGATTGGGCTATAAATTCTGCTACAGTAGTGCTGGAAGAAAAAAGACCACTGAGTACAACTGGATATCTTGACACAGAGGTAGAATTCAATTTTTGATGGGTAGTCTTCTTTTTTCTTCCAATAAGGGAGAGGACCTTAATGGAGACAGTGCAAAGTAGCTAGCAAGCAGAGCTTTTATTGACTAATTTCTATATTAATCTTTTATCTAGCTGGATCCTTTAGTAGAGTTACTCTCGTCTCTTAGTACTTAAAAACCATGGCCCTTGCAACTCTTTCCTGGCCTGTTTCAGTACTATGTAGTATGTTCTTCCGCACAGCATTTTGTTTCTGTTTGCAGCTGTGCACATACTGAACTTTTCATACAGACAAGAGAAATCAATCTTTGATATATTGGGCAGCTAAGGAAATACTACAGCACTGTTTTCTGTATGTGGTCAAGAGTAATTGCAACTCTAAGGAAAGGCTTGCAGGGACTGAAGTCAGATGAAAGTTTTCCAGATCATACTTTTCACTGCTTCTGGAATGGCAGTACTTAGATAATCAGTACAATATATGCTTGCGCTGTAACTTTATAAAGTATATAAGCTATAAACTTTAGAAGTTTCTAGTAATGTTTAACAGCTCCATAAAATAAGCTTAAATGCACCTCAGAAGAAAACTTATGTTTCACACTTCAAAAATGCTCCGACCATGCCACCTACTGACTTTAGATTGAACCCCAGGTGTGTAAATATAATTAGTGTGTTGCCTTCCAGGTAACATAAAGAAGCGGAGTTAAAAACATCCAAAGCTAAAATGAGTTTTTCCTGTGTTACCAACATGCTAAATTTCCTATGAATATTAAAATTACCCTAATAGAGAAAGACAGTGCTGCCCTAATAAACTATTGATTTTACTTTGATTACACTATTATATTATCTCATCTCATCCTATTACTTTTTCATAACCTGTTATAAAGCCAAGGGGTAATTCACACATCTACCCTATGAGTAGCTACCCTATGAGTGTCCCATGGTTTATTGGTTGTTTGCTGAGCAATCCACAGTACATTCACCAGATGTTCAGGCTCACCATGAGCTGTTCTCCCCTTCCTTTCCCATCTGTCCTCCAGTCAGTTTTAGTCTTGGTAGCAGAACCTGCCTTGGCTCCCACTGTCTAGTCTGATTATTATTGCTTTTTATTCACAACCATTTCTGTTTTTCAGAGCTTAAAAATTTCACTCAGGGTTAAAATTATTATTGCTTTAGCCCTTGAAAATTGTGCAACTATGTTTGCAATTTCTATATCATTATTTTTATCAGCATCTCAAAAAATAGCAAAAGATGGTGCACCAAAAGTAGGGGGAAATCACCTGTTATCCTCTCAATTTTAAGTGTTGAATTGACATCTCTCCACCTGTTCAACAAGACTACAAGTCTTCAGATATCCACTTCTGCAGTTCCATGACAGTTCTAAAAACACCAGAAATGCAGAAATATTTGCAAATCTAATGGCTGTGAATTAAATGGAAGGGAAATTGTACCAAAAATGGCAGCAAATGTCCAGCTGTTCTGCTTGATACTACACAAAGACTAGGTTCAAATGGTACAACAACTCATGATGAGTAACCAGCCATGATGGATTATTGTATCATGGTAAAATGAGATGGCTTTCTATAGGGTAGCTTATTTCTGGTGCTAAGCCATCCTGCCAACCCCAGTGGCTTGTTGAACCAACAAAGGCTCCAATTTCATTTGAACCCAGGTGGTCAACCCCATCATGGATTTAGGGAAGTGGTGAGCAAGCAGAGAGCATTTTTTTGTTGCTGAGTATTTATTCACATACTTTTCAAAGAAATGTGAGTATTTGTTCAAATACTTTTAAAAAGGAGAACCTTTCTTTTGATACTTGGGGATTGCCTCATTGCATTCACTTTCCTGAGTAGCTGAAGGGAAAGCTACTCGAGCACTTTGGAGAAGCTTTCAGTAGTTGTCACTTCAGAGTCTGTGGAAAGCAATCTCTAAAAGAAAGGGAAAGCCTGAGCAGGGAGCTGCAGCTTCAGTCACTAGGTTACTTCCTGGAGTAGGGAGTAAATGAAGAGGGGACGAGCCATAGAAATCTAGCTTATTTGTAGGGTAGGTTGCCAGGTTGTGTGAACTCCCCCTAAAAATGTTGTAATGATCCATCTTAATATTGCACAATGAATCTCAATATTGGTTCAGTTACACCATTAACAAGAACTATTGTTCCACCAGAATTCTAACCCACACTTGGAACAAATTTATCATTGTACCCCAAGTGCCAACTGCTGCCTTACTAAAATGTAACTTTAGAAATTCTATTTTATAAACATCTCTCATGCATTAAATTGAAAGTGGAAAGTCTAGAATTGAAGCAAACATGGATGACTCTAGCCTCACAGTCTCAATTCTGAAACAAAAGCATCTTTTATACAGAATCTAGATTCTGTGAGTTTTATTTGGCATTATTTTTCCTTTAGTGGGGGTTGCAAAAACCAATGAAGGGAAGACAGTCTGTATGAAGGTTTTGGTTTGAGAAGCTGATAAACTATATTTATTGCATTTCTTTCCCACCCAGTAGCTGAAGCTGTCTGGGTGCTTTACAATAAAAACTTTAAGACTGCACACTGAAATGTAATATAGATGTTTAAAATTGCAGGTTTTAGTAAGCAAAAATCTATCAGCGGTGCAAAGATTAATATACAGTAAAAGATTTAAAACAACAGAAGCTGAAAGAATAAACTGCCTGAGCAAATAAAAGAGCCTCATCTGGTGCCCGAAAGATCACAACATAGGTGCCAGGAAAGATCTTTGGAAAGATCATTGTGCAGCAGGGGTACCACAAGTTGAAAGGATTTTCTTCTTATGAATCTCATCTCATTTGGCAGGAACTCCCAGCAAAGGACTGCTAATTATGAACTTAGGATCCAGACTGGCATACATGGGACGAGACAGGCCTGGTAAACTGGCCCCAGGGTGCTTAGAACTTTGCATATTCATACCAGGGCTTTGAATCAGTCCTGGAAATTGATTGTCAGCTAGCGCAGATGAAAATGTACAAGTATAATATGATACATGGGACAATAATATTAACAACCTCACCACCCTATTCTGGACCTGATAATCCTGAGTATGGTTAATTGGAGCTAGGTAATCACTTTCCAGGTAAGGGTACAGTTGGTATATTAGCCCAAGCTGAGGAAAAGTGCTCCATGTCCTAGAGGCCACTTATTTAGTGACAATGCTGGATCTCCCCCAAAATACAAACCTGATTGCCAAATCACCAGGGCCATCTTAACAGCATTATGGGCCCCGGCCAAAGCAGTGTACTGGGGCCCTATGACAACTACAACTACTGTTAATTTTGGAATTTTTCCAATTTTCCAAGGGTTAACATACACAGATTAGTATGGGGCCCACCGGCAAGTGCCCATCAGGCCCATGCATTAAGACGGCCCTGCAAATCACAACCTTCCCAAGAGCAGGTGGAACATCTTTTAGCTGAGCAGATTAACTGAAACTAAAACAATGTTTATCTTCTCTGGACTGAATTGCAGTTTATTTGCTCTCATTCAGTCTGTGACTGTGCCCAGTCATTGATTCACAGCAACCACTGCCTCACCTAGATTTGATGAAGAGATGGAGCTGGATGTCATCTGCTTTTGATCACACCTTAGCCCATTTTGAAAAACATGACAGATAGAATAGAATTTGTAATTTCTTGGACCTAGCCAGATATCTGCTCCCTGTGTAATAAGCTATGAAGAGTTGATTTGTTCACATAATCAGGACTCAACAATTAAAACATCCAATAAACGGTCTTTGACCATAGGTGGTATAGTAATGAAATATGATGATGATGATAAATAGGAGTAAGTTTTGAGATTTTTCTCAATGAGTTTTATTAAAGAATGTTCCTGTCTTGTAGAATCTATAGTAAGTGACTCCATAACATAGCCATAGCAACCCATATATACATATTCTATATGCACTTTAAGATGAATGCTTCCAGCAAAAGTGCAGCTGAGAGAGTTTTTGCTCACGTTCCTGGATCAACCACAAAAGGTGAAGAAGGGATATCATGTGTGGAATCATGTTCTCTAATTTCTGAGTTGATAACATCTTTTATTTTTTTTCTCCTCAACTGTTGTAGGATTCCTGAGCTACTTAGTTAATGTTCTTCTGTCTCAAGACACTGAGAAATCCCAGGCTTTCAAGTTCTACTAACCTTGCAAAAAGTTTGTGTGTGTGTGTGTGTGTGTGTGTGTGGAGGGGGGGATTAGCCTCTCAAATAATGTTGACTTCAAAAACTTCTTTATTTATAACTTATTTTGGTATTTCCTTTTTTTACCTTGTTTTCAGAACAAGAGAATCAAGAAGATTATTGGAGGTGGGGTTCAGTTTGGGATAAGCAGTCATGGGAATAAACAGTGTAAATGCTATCCAAAGGCCATTTGGTAATCCTCACGCTGCTTACCCTGGAGTAGTCCTACTTAAATTGGTGGGATTACTTGACAAGTATATCATTTTTCAAAAACAGGTTGAAATGGAAGTACATCCCAGAAAATAAAATAGGAAGATACACAGAATTTGTATGTGTGACAGTGTTTTTTGTTTGGTTGCTGGATGCACTTACACTTTTCCATTTCCTGTTACTACAGTGAAGTTTATTGTGTTTAGAATGTCTGCTAACAACTTGAAAACTGCAGGAAATTTAACTAGAAATTAAAAACACATTGAGTGTAGCATAAAGCAGTAGCATAGGAATTTCTAGACACAAATGTTCTATATCTTGTGCTAGCAGGGATCACATGAAGGAAGTGATGTGCAAAATATAAATCATGTCTGCCTGGTTAAACACTGTTGCAACTGAAGGACCTTTTTAATCTTCTGAAGATGACAGAATTTGCCAGAACTTTCTAGTTCACATGTATTTTCTGTTTCACCTAAACAGGCAAATATTTTATGGCAAATCTGTGTGTGGACACATGCCCTGAGACTGAGTCTTACACATACATTAAGTTACAGTATTTGTTTTAAATTCAATTATTACAAAAGTGAGGTAAAAAGTAAGGATCTGATTACAGCATATTAAGCTAAGAAAAAATTAAATGGACAGAAAATATATATTTTTAATCTTAAATGGAACCAAATCTGAATGCTCTGATCTTTTGTGAGGAAGGAATTCCAGAAATGGTGAGAAAGTCCTTTCTCTGGTTGTCCCCTCCTCACCGTAGATACTGGACTTCTGGAAGACATACCTCTGAAAACTAGTTCATTACATAGAAAGAATATGCATTGCAAAGTATTTATATTGGGGCGGGGCAAATTATGATTCTCCAGATGTTTTCATCTATAAAGAAAGGCTCTCCCTCACCACTGTCTGTGCTTGTACCTAAATTAGGCAAATGTGCATTGCCTGATTGATGAGTAATTCTTCATAAAAAAGCTAAATGGAGAGCAATTTTGTGTACAAATATGCATTTGAAAGACCATAGGAGAGGAATGAACCCTTTTGGAATCCTTCTCTCTGGTGTCCACATACTTTTTTTTGTGCTCTGCCCAAATGCTTGCAGACTCCCAGTGTGCAACTGACAACCTTGCCAGTCATGAGTGACTGCAGCATGCAGAAAAGGGAGTGCTCTGAGTGGGTGTGCCAGCCACTGTTCCTTGCAACCAACCTTCTTCCTTGCCCACTGCTGTCAGTAGAGGTGTGCACTCCAGAGGTGCACAGCCAAACCAGACAGCCTCTTGGTGGATCATTTCTGGACCCTGCAATGTATTGTTTCTCCCCACTTCTGTGTATAGCACCCATAAAGCACAGTGATGTACACTTACCATTAAAGAGTCCCAATGGGGGTCAGAAAGTCAGTGGAATGTCACAAGTTCAGCATCTTAGATCTTGGCTTTAATCCTGGCTGGGGTCTTGCAGACAAAAAGAAAAGGAAACATTCTCTTTCTCACACACACAGTCTTGCGACAGTAGTTTAATATCACATTGGAGAGTATGCTTTAAGGATCTTATTGCATGGATCAGATAACTGCGAGGACCCAATCTAGCTGTAGCATGTCCTCCCTTTTGCTTGGTTGGTGTTGTCCAACCCATCTTTTTATATTAATTTGGCTGATGATCGGTGATTTCAGGTTTCTCTCCCACAGTGGACCTTTTTAATCATTCACCTTCTCTATGGTAGCAAAACCGCTAAATTAATTGCACCAGTAATCATGTGGGTCAAAAAGACAATAAGCATTTTACAAATCTGAACAGTGTTGCTTTCCCCATCACTTTACCTCCATGCTGGCTGCCTCTTCACTGTTACATTGCTTTATTATAATTCTGGAAAACATGGGAACCTTAGTTGAGCAAAAAGTACATCTTTTTATGTATTTCTTTGGCTTTTATGCTTTATATTTATTAGTTTTTTATGCTTGTGTTATATGCTAATTTAGATGATGGGGTTTGTTGTATTCAACCTTGTACACTGCTTTCTAAGCCTTTTTCATAGAGCTGTTTGTGTGTGGGTGGGTGTTTGGGTGTGTGCACAGTGAGCATCAGGAGGAGCAGCTGGTATAGGAATCCCATGTGACTAAGTGACTGGACTGCGGTCTCTTTCTTTTCTGTTCTGCATGTCTCTGTCCACCTTTCTGCTTTCCTAATGATTGCCTTCTGCTATCTGCTATTTGGGTTTACCTGTTGCGTAAGATAACTGGAAGATGAGGACACTAATCACGTTTCCCATTTAGGGAAAAGCACTGACTCTCTGACTACATTGAGTGTATGTTCTGTTCCATGCCCCTTGGTTTTGATTTTGCAAAGACGCATGCATCATTGTTGGCCAGCATTATTAGTAAGCTTAGGAATATTTGGTGTTCAAGAAATAGTTTATTCACCTACTTTTTGTACTTTCAGTTTAGGATTTGTATCAGCAGGCATCTCTTTCAGTAACCTGCATGCACAGCCTATATTGCTTGCATAGAGACACTGGCTGAGTTCACTTGAAATGCCAACCTGCCCTGGCAATAATCTGGGGTAGGTTGTATGAATCAGACAGGGCTTGACAGGCTTGTAGCAGGTATTTCTCGTGCTCTGCCTCACTTCCCCAGGCAGTATCCCAGGACACTATAAGGACGAACAAGTCTTTCTCTGACAACCGAAGCATGAGCTCATTTCAGTTTCCTGTACCCTGTCAAAAACTCCCTGTTGAACAAAAAGGGCTTCTGTCCTAAAGTGCAGTCAGGGGAAGCTCTGGCCTTGGCTAGGGCAGTGGGCAGCCCCTGCACATTGCCCCAACCAAGACTGGGAGTTCCTCCCCATTCCATTTCAAGGCAGGAGCCCTGTTTTGCACTGTGGGGACAAAGAAAATTTGTCTTCTTTTTACCTCTGGTGCAGAGATCCAGTCTTGGAAAGCAGCAGGGAGAATGAGGGGGGTAATTGGTGCTGCTCCTCAAGAACAGGACACTACTGCTGAGAGGTTTGCTGTCTCTCTCAGCATAAGAGTGGACCTCTGGGCAGAAGGCAGGAACTGATGATCTGCCCAGCAGCACTGTCCCATCCTCAGTGGCTCCACTGTCCAGATTGGCCCCCCTCAACTCCCACCTGAAAATAGATCTCTCAGGCAGGAGGTGGGGTGAGTGATCCGTTCAGTGGTTGTACCTCATCCTTGAGAGCACTGCTGAGCAGACTCGGTACCTTCCCAAGTTCAACCTCCTGCCTGAGAGTAGACTTCTTAGGCAGCAGGCTGGGGTGGCACTGTGGTACAGATTTCTGGTCCTGCCTTCTTGCCGTCCTTGCTAGCATTTTCACAGCCATGGGGAAGGATATCTGCTCCCTCTTGCCAAGGGATCTCAAGGTTGTTCATCAAGGAAGAACAGGTCCCAGTCATCCTTGTCGGTAGCTGAAGAGGTCTAATTTTGAGTTGCCAGCAAGAATGGCTACTTCTGACAGCAATCTCCAGGTGTTGCTTGAGCACTTTCAAGGTTGCTGTCAGTGAGGCTCACCTGGCAGCCATTTGCCAAAGGAGCAGGAGACTTCTGCCATTCTTGAACTATTGGAGTTCACCTGGTGGGTCATGCCATCAGGGTTCAGGTGACAACAGTCCTAGCATCTAGGCTGTCCATCTAGTTTGGTGGGAATCCATTAACTCATGCTAGTTTTTTTTTAATTGTTTTTAAAGTTGTAATGTTATGCTGCCCTGAGGAACAAAAGCAAGGCCTCAGTGAGCATAAGATTCCTCTAAGCTCTTGAATAGAATAACCCTGCTTTGACTCCCAAAATAGCAGAAGCCTCATAGTCACAGGATGTATAAAGGTTGAATACTGCAATCTTCACAGGATGTATAAAGGTTAAGTATTACAGTCTCAATTCTTTTGTGGCTCCCTATGAATTGCTTTCTCAGGTTCTTTTTTCATAAGTAAATAAGCCTAGCTATACATCTGTCTACAGCAGTGGAAGGCAGTGTGGTGTCTGAGGGCATGCAGAGCTGACTGTTAACTCATTTGAACTTCTGAGTAGATATGTGTAAGACTGTGTTGTAAGAATCAGGTATGTTTAATGTAATTGGTATTGTTTTTTTTCCCCCCATCAGGAAAGCACCAGTACATCTGGAAGCAAACGCTGGGTGTCACAGTGGGCTAGTCTGGCTGCTAATCATACGAAACATGAAGAATGTGAAGTACAAATGGAATCACCTGCTCCTGCTCATCTAGAAAATGGTACTTTAAGTAGCTTAGTCAGAAAGCTATTACTTCAGTATGAGTAGGGACATTTTTCCTTTGTCACAATTACTAGTGCGTTTCATTTTGATCAGTTTAAGGTTATGTTAAGATGTGTGATCTTCTTAAATAAAACTGCCATTATTTAGATAGTTTCTTATACCTTATCTCATTGTAAATAAATGAGATACATTAAAATTAACATTCTGAAAAGCACATGTGACAAAAGATAAATGATGAAAAGCAAGGTTTCTCCTCAATTGATCATGTTGTTGAAATAACCCATGACAAATAATAGAATTTCAGTACTCTTGTTTAACAGGGTCTCTCCTTCCCCCTCCTCCCACATTTTGTTTGGTTTTTAGATACTGACATCAGTGAATCTGGCCTATCAGTTAGAAGTGCTGGCTCAGCAGCCTCTTTGATTAACCAAGGAGACCGAAAGAGACGAACACTTCCCCAATTGCCAAAGGAGGAAAATATCACAGAAGGACAAAGAACAAAATTTACAACCCATCAGAGATCAGAGATAGGTGAAAAACAAGACACAGAACTTCAAGAGAAAGAAACTCCAACTCATACTCAAAAAGAAATAGGACAAGCTGCTGATAAAAGCCTGACTAAAGCAAGCAGGGCAATGAATGGCCTTTCTCCTAAAGCGGACAAGACATTTTTTCACTCTAACAATTGCCTCTCATCTGGCAAAGATCAAAGTGAAACTGGCAGGGAAACATCAGTGGTAAAACAAGCTTTAGCTAAAATTCACCAGCAGGAACAAAATGAGCTAGCACATTGGATCCCCACTAAATTAACTTCTTCAAAAACTCTAAACCAAGTTGAAAGAGGAAGAGGAGAGGCTTCTCTATCCCATAAAACAGATAATAAAGAAAAGGCATCAGGACGTAGTACAGGCAAAACAGACGTTAAAGTGGCACAAAGTGAAGGGAAAAGAAAGAAAGTTGAGGAAACATCAAAATGCCAAGCTACAAAAGGATTTAGCGGGGATAAGAAAGAAACATCAAAACCATTAGTGAGACAGGGCAGTTTTACTATAGATAAACCAAGTACAAATATACCTATAGAGCTCATCCCTCATATTAATAAACAGACAGGAAATACTCCACCATCATTTTCTTCAACAAATACCAACAAAATATGTGAGAAAAGTGATTCAGTGGAAACAGATTCCAGTCTTGATACAACACTTATTTTAAAGGACACAGAAGCTGTAATGGCTTTCCTTGAAGCTAAGCTGCGTGAAGAAAATAAAACAGATGAAGGACCTGAAACTCCCAGCTATAACAGAGATAATTCGATCTCACCTGAATCAGATGTGGATACTGCTAGTACAATTAGTTTGGTTACTGGAGACAGTGAAAGAAAACCAACCCAGAAACGAAAAAGCTTTACCACCCTTTACAAAGATAGGTGTTCCACTGGTTCTCCTTCAAAGGATTCTTTAAAGTCTTCTACAAGCGCTAGAGAAAAAACTGAAAAGAAAACAAAAAGTCGTTCTTCAGAAACTGGTTCAAGGAGTGATTCACGCAAGATTGTGCAAAGCAGTGGAAGAATAAGACAACCTTCAGTGGATTTAACAGATGATGATCAAACTTCTAGTGTACCCCATTCTGCCATTTCTGATATATTGTCTTCTGACCAGGAAACATGCTCTGGCAAATCACATGGAAGGACTCCTTTTACCTCAGCAGATGAACATTTGCATTCCAAAACAGAAGGTACCAAATCAGCTAAACTGAAATCTCCAGCATCAACTTCACAATCTAGTAAATCAACCACACTTCCAAGACCTCGCCCCACAAGGACTTCGCTTTTACGTAGAGCACGGCTTGGTGAAGTGTCAGATAGTGAGCTTGCAGATGCAGATAAAGCCTCGGTGGCTTCTGAGGTATCAACTACAAGTTCTACATCCAAGCCCCCATCAGGAAGGAGAAATATTTCAAGAATTGACCTGCTTGCCCAGCCACGTAGAAATAGGCTTGGTTCTTTATCAGCAAGAAGTGACTCTGAGGCAACAATAAGTAGAAGTACTGCATCATCTCGTACTCCAGAAGCCATAATTAGAAGTGGAATTAGGCTAACACCACCAGCAGATAGTACTAAAGTTTCTCCAAGAATTAGAGCTAACAGCATTTCTCGCCTGTCGGACTCCAAGTCCAAATCTTTGTCTTCAGCCCACAATTCTCCATCAGGTAAGAGAGTGTTTCAGCCTCATCTTTTTATACAATAATTCGTTCTCTCCTCCCTGTCCATTTTCAAGTGATAATGAAGGAAGGCATACTTGCAATCATTTGAATAATACAAGGTAACTTTAATGCTGCTAATTACAGAGCAAAATGATAACTATTTGGATGAATCTCTTACTGCTAAATGCCTAACTTTTTAATCAGTCATTCATCTTTTTTAGAAAATATATTTAGAAAACCAGTTATGACTTTTCCCTAAGAAACTTACACACTTGAACAAAAGACTAAAATGTTTTGCACTTCAAGGTTGCTTCTCAGATCTAATGCTTATACTGCATGTAATTTTGAACATAGAGTGATACTATCTATGCTTAAGCTCCTGCTTACCCATTAAATGATTCTCGCCAACCTTGCCTTAAACCTCTTCTCCAGTTTTGAAAAAATGCAGCAGCAGAAACTTCATTCTTTTTTTCTAATGGTCTCTTGCTAATTATAAATGGTAAACATTTATTTCAAACCAACGTTGCATTAGGTGGTGTATGAAAAGCATTTAAAGCAATCCATTCCAAGTAGATTTGTATTGTCAGTTTCATGGAGGACAGGTCACTTCATATGTTATAATTAGGAAATGTATTTTTCTATAGCAGTGCTCCATACAGCTCAGGAGCTCTAGGTCAGTGGCATAGTAAATGCTTTGCATTCAGAAGGTTTAGTCTAGGTTCAATCCAGGTTCAATTCCCAGTATCCCCATGTATTGCTGGAAAAAATCTTCCCTGAAAGCTGGGAGAACTGCTGCCAGTCAGGGTCAACTGTACAAGACTAATGGAACAGTGTTCTGACTCAGTATTCAGCAGTTTCCTGTCTTCCACATTCATGTGTTTATCTGCCCAGTTATGCAGACAGTTTTCGCATCACTACCAGCTGCTTCTGAGAAAATGAGCTAAAGCCATGGAAATTTAAATGAATCTGGTTTGGTATACATGCAGAAGAGTTTACAAGGTTGTAGAGTTCACATATATTTCTGTTGAAAAATCATTTTTAATTTCTCCATCTGGAGCTTAGACCAGTTGCTTCATAATCACTTTGTGAAACCTGAGGCCAGAATCTGAAGCCTGTGCATGCACCAGGGTAAAGATCTCAAATGTCTGGCATGTGGTCCAAGTCTGATCTGTTACATTATCTCACTTGTGGGAGTCTTGTGCAAGCCCATCTTCCCCAGAGAAGGAAAATGGAGCAAGAGAGCAACTAAGATGCAGCACTCTTCAGTTAGCTTTACTCTTTCCTTCTTAGAGGATGAGAGGGAGAATGAACCCAGCTTCAGCCTCTGCTGATACCTCAAGAAATGTTTCCTTAGGGTGCTGCCTGAATCTCTTGTTCATTACTCCTGCACCATGATTGGATGCATCCAAAAGCTAACCTTAATGGCTCTGGGAAGCCTCTGGACTGACATCTGGTCACAGTATGAGCAGCTGCAAAGAAAACTTGATGCACAAGTTTAATTTTTAAAACTGTGGCTACAGGGTGGAAGACCTGTATTAGCTTCCTCTGAACATGATATCTTTTCAGCCTTTGTGGTTGCTAATAGGAATGTTGGGGAAGTAGGCAATAGATTCATATGAGTTTGCATTTCTGTGAATTTGATCTTTGGAATCTACTGTGGATCACCTTTTTCCAAGTCATGTGGATTCTACAGATTTGTGAACTGGTTTTTTATTTGTGTGTGGAATTTGTATTAAAATGTGCAAGTGACAGCACTTTAGCATGACAGCACTTTAGCATGACAGCACTTTAGCATGAATAAATCAAAATTCTGGTATCCAGAATTTTAGATCCAGTTCTATAATCCATTTCTGTCACTGGGTTTCAAAAGATGCCTGACAATCCACAAAACACTGAGAGAGTGGTTTTAACAAAACCCACGCATTCCTAGTTATTAGTGAATTTGAAGCAATCTTACTGTTGGATTGTTCTAAGTGTCATTTAAAACTCTCCTGCTCTTCCAGATTGCATTTCACTCTTGGCAGAGACATCACTTTAAAATTTATTCCTGTTAGCATAATCTGTCATCTTTAGGTGCATAAAATCTGCCTTTTCCTTTGTCCATGGCAGCTTTAATGTCTTATCTTGAGCTGAATTGCAATATTCATTGACATAAGAAATTAACAGTACTAGCTATTTGTTTACCTTATACCCCACACATACCAACAGTATTCAAATAAAATCCAACTGTCAGTTTTGTCACCATCAGTACATTGAGTTTCTCTGTTTTAGGGCGGGAGGTGGGCACAAGCTTGTCCTTTGGTTCAGATGGCAAAATGTCTTGCACTGGCCCTGCTATTCTTATTCATGTTTGTAAGCCCCATTCTAACCAAATAAAATTTCAAAGTTTTTTAAATGTGTTCAATTTTTCAAATGCACTGTTTTAATTTTATTATAAAAAATAGATTTGTGCCAACTTCTGGCTATGATACAGCTTGATACTTGGTTTTTCAGATGAAAATGATTTTTTTTTTAAGATTCACGGCACTGGGATGATTGTTTTACTTTTATCCACATCTTTGTGGTGTAATTAGGCTCATTATTACATTTTAAGGAAATACTTTAAATCTGTATGTCTTAATTAACATGATAAAAAAACTATTTTGTACACAGAGGCATACCGTCTTCTCCCAGACCCAGATCCTGCTGTTGAAACTTACAGTGGTAGAGTACTAGAAATCATATTTTGTTTTTGCTGTTTTTTCCAATTTTTACTCATAATTATTTTTTCTTTAAATGCTCATGTTGTACAATGCTGGGTTGCAGGACTAGCTCCAAATTGATAAACACTAACTAACTTTTAAAAACAGTTCTATCATCTTGACTGTTTAAACAGCCCTAAATTGTTTTTAAAAAAACCCACCTTGGATTAAAGCATTCTAAAAACAGGCATACACAATTGGGCCCAACTCATAACAACTCTGGACCTCGATGATTCTGTTTTTGCATGCTTTTAGAAATAGGTGCTTTTTCTGCTTATTATGCTAATAAATATATTTAAAGTGAGGGAAAACGATTACCTAAAAATTGAAAATAAAACCAGGTTTATTATAATCTGCATATAAACCTGAAAAAAAATCTGGAAGTGACATGAAGGTCTTTCAGTCCTTGACCCATGGAACTGTAATAAAACTGTATTCTAAATTCACAAGTTACTTTGTTTAATGACTGTTAAGTTCTGTTCTCCTTCTACATTTGCCATTATGTTCACATACTGTTATTGCACTATACTATAAATTATTAAATTTTCATTACCATTTGAAGAAAATCAGTTGTTTCCAGAAGTATCATTATGTACTTTACCAGTTTTGGCAAGAAGGACATCAGACTTTCAACATATTGTTTTAGTGTTGTTGACTCAATAGTCAAACTAGATGAGAAGCTATTCATAAAATTAGCATTTATGTAAATACTTTTTTTTAAGTTGCAGGTATGGAGATTTATATCAGGACTCTAGATAGGGGTATGATTTTACATTGTTTGTCCCCTGCTGAGGTCTTGTTATTTGTGTGCATGGAGGAACCTCTTTTGCTCTAACAGGCATTTTTCCCCTCAGTGCACATAGCAATCACCTCCACACTCACCAGTCCGGACTGGAACCATTATAGAGGCAAAAGGATAAAGTCCCTTTATCCTTATACTGGGATCCTGATTTGGATTGGGCTCCCACACTTCAGCATATTTCAGAAAAGCCATCCATGATCCTGCTACTTGCATGAGTGGCATTGTATTTAATTGGCTCTCTTATTTATTTAAAATAGTTATAGGCTCCCTTTTAGAGTATACCCTCTTGAGGTGACAAAAAACCAAATTTTAAACTGAGTTCAAGGAGATTGCTATGGGGATAAGCAATCCTTCAGATTATCTGAACCCAAAATGCTTTAAGGACTTAAAGACTGATATCAGTACTTTAAATTGAGCCTGAAAATCACTGGTGGCCAGTGCAGCTGAGTCAGTATAGTAGAACATGTTCCAACCTACCAGTAGTAGGGAACAAATGTTCTATCAGTTGAAGTTTCCAGTCGTGTATGGATTGAAGCTAGGTCCATCCTCTTAAAATATAGTTGCAATTAGCAGATCATCCTAAGCCTATTTAAAGGCACTTCTGGCTGCCGCTGTCACCTGATATTCCCCAATTAGCGTTAAGTTCAGGAGAAGCCCAAACTGCATTTGATTCACAACCAATTGTAACACACCTCTATCTCGTCTGCATTAAGTTCAGTTTGTTTTCTCTGATATATCTTATAACCATCCCTAAACACTGTCTCAAGAGTTCCAGACCTTCTTAGAATAAGAAGATGGAAATGCAGAGTAGCATTGAGTTTCATCTGCATATTGATGACACTGTAGCCCAATCCTACAGATGCTTTCCCTCTGAAGTTTGATATACAGTTTTTAAAAATATTATGAGAAACTATAGGCCAATATTGGACCTATAAGCCAATGGTCCTTGGAAATGGAAACACCTTCTAGGACTGATCCTCCAGGAGGGACTGAAACCACAGTAATGGATGCCTCCTGAGCCTAACATAGACAGACAGTCTGTAAATGTTTGGTGGTTGATGCTATTGAAAGATGACAGAGATCCAGAAAAACTAATAGGGTAGTACCCATCCCTGTATCCACTCCTCCCCACCAGCACCATCAGTTCCCCAGCATAACTGATCCACCAGGGCAACCAATGCCACTTCTATCCTGAAATCCATTTGGAGTGATCTAAATTATCAGCATCATCTGAACACTGCATCAAGTACTAATGCATAGTCCATAGCTGACCTTCAGACCGTCCGTTTAACAGAAACTGCTGGTGTTTGAATCTTCAGTTCCCTGGTTGTTTGGGTACTGTTATTCTTGCAAAACTTGTGTTCATATTAATCTAGATAACCTTTTAAAACACACATGGGCTCACACATACAGAACAGGGAAAGTCATTCTTACAGCTCTCAACTTCTAACTGAAAATGTGCATTTTGCTTATTGTCAAAACTAGATTTCAGGTAAAACAAACTGTCAGTTTTCCTCTCAGAGATTCTTTCCTTCATTTGTAATAATTCTATTTCTTTGTGTTGTCTAATGTAGAATTATACATTTCTGACACCGGGAAAAATTTGCAGAAAAAGTACATACTCACTGTTTTGGAAAAGAAAAATGAATTGGGCCCTTGTTGTGATTTTTATCATGGTTTATATAGGAGACTAGTAGCATTCCTGTCTTATTAACTCACCATTGTACAAAGAGTAACCTTTTGTGCATTTTGTAAATTAGCATTTATTCTTTAACACAATTGTAGTAGCTTTCTTTTTGAGCTGTAGTCAGCAAACACTTTTGTATGAGGTACTTTGGGTTTGGAATTAAGCAACTGTGGTGTGTTCTCACAATGTTTCTAAAATTTTGATTTATTTCTTGCAATAGATGCAACAATAATTTTTTCTTAATAATTAAACTAATTTAGTAAATTCAAGATGGAGGCGGTTTCCTACTGATTATGCTTCCACCTCGGAAGATGAATTTGGATCAAACCGTAATTCTCCTAAACATGCCCGTCTACGTACTTCTCCAGCCCTGAAAACTACTCGATTGCAGAGCACTGGAACACCAACGCAAACTAGCAATATCTTCAAGCATAGGATAAAGGAACAGGAGGACTACATCCGTGACTGGACAGCTCATCGAGAAGAAATAGCAAGGTTGGCTTTCAGGGAATGAGTACTTAGTAAAGTCATCAGCCAGTCACAAAACATGCTTAGTTTTGTTTCTAGATATACTCTACCAAAATGGTTGCGTGCGCCATGGAAGTGCTAATAGCTTTCTTTACTAACAGGCAAATATGTTATTGTATTGTTCTGAGCTGCATACTGGTTATGTTCAGACAATAGTTTAACATGGCAAGAATGCGCTTTAGCAAGTCTCAGTCAAGCACCTTCCCCATGCCTCTGACACAACCATGAGAAGGAATTCAGAAATTTTTGCTTTCAGTTTAGACAGCTTGTGCTGCCAAATCTGAGAAAGTGTACTTGGATTTAACTGGCTTGTTTGGAACAAGCCAACTTCACGCCATGAAATATCAAGCTGTGCTGCAGGAAGAAAGGGGAGGGGCTCTGTGAAGGCTTAAGGCTTGTTCCTGTCAAGCTAACCTGTTGTTTAATTTGACATCTACATGCCGCCACTGTGAATTTCTAATTTCATTGTGTGCTGCAAATGTGGTATGCATATAATTACTATTTAATATTTACTTGTGCCTTCAATTTGAGAGTATCTTCATAGAGTAATGTCATCCCTGAGAGGGGTTTTACAATCAAACTCAAGGTAAAGGTTTTTCAAGGGAAAGGTTGACTTGTCAGGGTAAGGAGGAAGTAGGAGGAGAATTAACTATTAGCAGACAAAATGATTCTATTGTACTTAAGATCAGACATTTCTGAGTGTCCATGTGCATAGAGGCTTTGGAATTGCACAAGATTTGAAGCTCTTTTCATTACATGTGATCTGAGTGCAGCTTGAAATGAAGTGGAACAGTGTAATGGTTGTAATGAAACAAAGTGGAACAATGTCACACCTACGTATCACACATAGTGACTATACCCTACTATAGTATAGGCAGAAGATAGAAAAGAGCTGTTCCAATGAAAGTTCTCTCCTCTCACTTATAAATGTCATGTGAACATAAGTGGAACATGTTGCTCTTCCTGACCTTAATCACTGCATGTAGAGGATACTGCCTGAGTTCAGAGATTTGGCAGGAAAATAAATGGAATATGTCAGTTTGGGTGCACTTGAAGGATGGAAGTGCATGAGCTGAAGACCCATTCCTGATACCATTGCACATAGGGGAAACAGGTAGCTGTGTCATTTAAATATTGTGCAAAGCCAGTAGCAAGCAAGCTGGGATGATGCTTGCATCTTCAGGCCCAGAAAAAACATTGTACATGTTGTGTGAGTGCTGTTATTTTTTTTTAAGCGTTGCAAGTGTTTGTCAGGAACTTTAATCAAAATGAATTCATGTGGATTGGAAGGAACAGTTTTGTACCAACCAGATTCCATGCATGGTTTTATTTTGTTAAAACAATGAAATAATCTTTTGTAGTTACTCATATTTTCAACATCATTATTTTATTTCCCACCTCTCTTTCAAGGAGTTTCAGACTACCCCATTTTATACTCTATACCGTTTTTAACTTGTGGGGTGGGTTAGACTGAAAGATGGTGACCAAACCAATGTCCAACCAAGTGAGCTTCTTAGTTGAGGAGCAATTTCATCCTTGGGCTGCCCAGGTCCTACTCTAACACTCTAACCCAGTATGAGGAGACGTTTTCTATGAAGGGCTACTGACCCACAGGAAAAGTCAGTGGGAGGCCAGAGCTGATGGTGGGTAGAAGCAGAGCCAAAAATGGGCAAAAGCAGAGTCACCCTTTTTTCTGGAACCCCAATTTTTCCATTTCATCTGCCAGTAATAAGCTTCCAGCTCTGAGAAGAAATACCTTGAAATACAGCCATAGGAATGGCAAGTGTGCTCTTGTGAACTGAAAACTTACGGTAATTTGTCTCTATAGTCACGTCTCTGTAGTTTACTTAGATGCTTGCTCCTCTTCCAATTAATTTTCCATCCTTTTTCCCAACCAGTTCCTGCTGTGATGATGCCTAGCTGCTGCAGCCAAGTATACTGCAGGCCAAATGAGATTAGGCCATGGGCCAGGGTTCCCCAGTCTTGTTCTAATCACTGTACCACATTGGTGCAGCACAGTGTATTTGGACATCCTCTACAATGTCAGCTGATAGAGCCTTCCATAGCTGAAATAAATGAATAGGAATGTATATTTAGTATTAAAAGTTGAATTAAGAATTAAAATATGACTGAGCCAATATACTTAGGTGTTTTAAGACTTCTAGGATACTGTATAGCAACTAATTTTTGGTGTCTTTAAAATATCTTCATAGGTGATGACAGCACCAAAATGCTCTGTTCTGTTAATCTGCAAAAAAAAGAACACCTACATTACATTAAGAACACTTTAACCTACTTTATATTATCATTTATTTATTTATCTATTAAATTTGTTTAAAAACTGCCTGTTAGCAACATATGCTGTCTGGATGGCCATTACAATATAACATCAGCAAATAACATTAATAAAATAATACTGTTAAAATCTCATAATAAATGAAATAAAGTCACAATAAAATAATTAAATAAAAATAGTCATGCATTACTATATTAACACTGTGCATCAATGTAAATAGTTTAAATAGTGCCAAAGGAAAAGGAATGTTTTTGCCAGGCACCTGAAACTCATTAAGGTAGGCACCTGGTGAATCTCTGGCAGTAGACTATTCCATAATTGGGACGCCACCACAGAAAAGGCCCTCCTCCTTGCAACCTCCCCCTTAACCTGCTTGGGGAGAGGAACTCATAGGAGGGCCCCAGCTGAAGATCTTAAACAACGGGCAGAAATAGATGGAGTAAGGCATTCCCTCAGATACTGTGGACCCAAGCCATTTTGCGCTTTGTATGTCTTTGTTAAAACTTTGAATTCAGCTCAGACAGAAACAGGCAACCAAAGCAGCTGACAGAGGACAGGTATAATATGTTCATAAGAACTGATCCTCCTCAGCGGCTGTGCTGCCCTGTTCTGGAGAATTTGAAAAGACCAGACTGTCTTCAAGGGAACCCCACATTCAGTGTGTTGCAGTCATTCAGTCTAGAGGATACCAGTGCATGAATGACTGTGGCAAGACTACCTCATCCAGGTAGGAACATAGTTGTTAAATCAGTTGAAGCTGATAAAAGGTGCTCCTGGGCTATCAGGGAGAGCTCAGAGTCCAGGAGCATCCTGAAACTATAAACCTTGTCCTTTAGGGAGGGTGCAGCCCTGTCCAGGACAGGTTTGCAATCTCCCAGTTGAAATGTGGATTTACTCATGAACAGTACTTCCATCTTATCAGGATTGAGCTTGAGCTTATTGGCCCTCATCCAACCCATTACCGAGTCCAAACACTGATTGAGGGTGGACACTTGGGTCAGATGAAAATAAGAGATAGAGCTCAGTTTCATCAGCATATTGATGACACTTCAGCTCAAACCTCCTCATGACCTTACCCAGCGGTTTCATGTAGATGTTGAGAAGCATGAAGGATGAAATTAAACCCTGTAGTACTCAGTGACACAATTGTTATGGCACAGAGCGATAATCCCCTAGCACCACCATCTGGAGATAGTCCGCTAGGTAGGAGCAGAGCCAGCGCAATATGGTGCTTCCAGTGCCCAACCTGGCAAGCCACTCCAGAAAGATACCATGGTCAATGGTATCAAAAGTCCCTGAGAGGTCCAGGAGAATCAACAGGGTCATACTATCACTGTCTCTCTCCTGACAGAGGTCATTCCAAAGGACAACCAAGGCAGTCTCAGTCCCAAAGCCCGAAACCCAATTGAAATGGGTCAAGATAATTCATTAGCAATGTTATACTAACTATTTCTAGTTGAATGTAATATTTCGGATCCAATCAGCTGCTTATGAACAGAAAGAGTATCTGGCCACACGAGGGGAAGTATCACTATTGTCCTTTCTATATTTAGCACCACCTCACACCCTTCCTGAGCTTCACCTAGCCTTAGCACAAGATTTTAGATGTCCGTTGGAGACTGAGGTAGGAAGAAGGCAGCCATGAATCCTACTTGTTGAAGCACTATGCCATATCCACAAAGATATTCTACTAGGGATGTTTGTTTGTTTGTTTGTTTGTTTGTTTAGAATATTTATATGCCGTCCTTTTGCAGAGCCTCAGGACAGCTTACATAAATAAGAAAAATGGAATAAAACATAATACAAATAAATTCATATTATAAAGTGTATACTTTATAATATGTATTTCTGATCCAGGAAATCTCCGATTCTTAAAAGAACAAGATTGTTTTGTAAAATTAGATCTGTTGCATTTTCATCTTTTTCAGAAAACTACCTTATAAGCATATTTGAGGAGAAGGATGAGGAAAGAAACATTTAATTGGGTAGGGGAGTCCAAATAGTGGGAGGGGTTGTGGGGATTTGCCAACAACCTGTAGAAATGAAAAGAAGAAATTAAGGCTGTTGTGTCATGGAAGGATTGTTATATTGAGGGAGGATAATGATAAATGTGTATGAATTTAATTTCTTTGTATTGTATTCAACTTGCCAAAGGAATGGCTTCCTTAGTGGAATGCCAGGGGAATGGCATTTCCACCCCTGCAGCTCCCTGTACCCTTTATCTGTGTAATAACGTCCCCTCCTCAAAAAAACAACTACTGAAAATTGCAAAAACTTATGTCTAAAAGAAGTGTTAGCTGTACTGCACCAACAACAGTTTAACCAAGTTAAACACTATGATGTTAAAGGGACACTGTGACACAAAACCAGTTTCGCTGAAGGCACCGTTTAAGGTCTGTAGGCAGCAGGCAGATGCCAAAATGGCATTTGGTTGTGCCACAGCAGTTTCTCACATTCCCAAATGTGCCCATGGGTCCAAAAGGGTTGAGAATCCCTCCCTTAGTGATGGGGAACCCTGTGGAGGAATACTAGCAGTGGATGCCAGTTCAGAGAGAAGAGGTAGGGAGAATCCCACTGTATGTGTGCATTACATCATGGCATTTCACCCATTTTACACAATATGAACTATATATTCCTTCCAAAATGAAGTCCATTGTTAACTACATGGATAGCAAATAATGTAATTTGCAACCAGATGACCTGTTCATGTGTGGTAAGTGATATAACCATGGGTTTGGGGTATTAAAGATTTGGAAATAAACAACTTTAGCAGAAGAATAATAGTCCATATATAGCAAGATTAATTGGCTGTTTTGGTGTGCTTCCAGAGTTATTTTAGCTTCTAGTATTTATAGCAATTATTGTTAGATGAAAATACTTAAAAGTGATGCTTGTGCCAAATCACTGGGGACCACAATTTAGAGTTCTGTTGACTGGTCAAGATGGATTACGCTCAGACTGTAACGTTGTCTTAATCATTAACAGGATCAGTCAAGACCTGGCTCTCATCGCGCGGGAAATCAATGATGTAGCAGGAGAGATAGATTCGGTGACTTCATCAGGCACTGCGCCTAGTACCACAGTAAGCACTGCTGCCACCACCCCTGGCTCTGCCATAGACACTAGAGAAGAGGTAGGAGATCTTCATGGAGAAATGCATAAGGTTCTTCCTTTTCTTTATTTCTTTTGCTTCATTCTTTTGGCATACTTTTAATTATTTCTACTCCTGTTTGCATGAATCTCAGCATTCTCTTTCTTTCATTTAAGATTAGATTACCTATTATCCAAAAGTAATCCCAGTAGTTAATAAACACAATTCATATTATGATCAGTGCAAGATTAGTTACATGATGAATTAGTGTGATTTTTTACAATTTTAACATCAGACTTTTGTTTCCTTGACCCAATCTCACATGCAAGAGAATGTAATATTTAAGTGGTTCCTAATGAACAGAAATTCTTAGAGATTTAGTTTTACACAGATATTGTACAATGCTATGTGTAAGATAAAGTGCTGTTCATTTTCCTTGGTCTTAGAGAGCCCTGAGCTTTACTAATATTTGTTTTTCAATAACTCACTCACTGATTGTAAGCTAGTTCCCCTCCTGACTATATTATTAACAATTAATGCAACTCAGTATAACTACATGCTGCGATTCACTTTTTTTTTTTACTTTCTCTGATATGCTTTGTTTCTGTATGCAAACTTGCATGCTCAAGGCATATTGCAAATTCCAGTAAGTGTATTTAAAATTACATGAAGTCAATTACCTTTTAACTGTATTGCAGTTTGTCTGTTTCTTAACTATTTGTTTTGTTTTCAGAGTTGGCTGTTTCTGCAGGGAATGTATTTTTAGGAACAGGGTAATAGCAAAATTTCATACTAATTAAAAAGTAACAAAAGTTTGCAATCTGATAACAGTATTTCAGCATAGTTGCCTCCATTTATCTTTTAAACAAAATTTAGCAAAAATCATCCAAAATAACATTACTTTAGTCCCTTGGGTACCTTAACTGAAACCATGTCTGTACGTGAGGGTTGCAGAAATCCTAGCAAGTCTATGATGGCATAATGTTTTGTGTCCTATAGCTCATTTCCATCATACACATAAAGTGTTATCCTGCGTTACAAAGTATTGTGGGAGGAAGGGGAACTGTAAACAGTGAACTCAGAATGAAAAGCTTTGTAGACAGTATCGACATCCTCCTTTTATTTCTCTAATCCATTTCTTAGCTGCCTTTCAAGACCATAGTCTTCCCAAGTATCAAAAATCAACATAAATATGTTAATAAGTACAAACAATTCCATGTAAAACTGATTTCAGTAAGACACAGTTTCAAAATATCCATACATCAGCATCAGGTAATATAAGTGTTCTTACTTAAAAACTGGGGGAAATGATTTAGTGAAAACTGTGGCTGTTATCCTTGCATTGGTAATCTAATTTACAAATGTGGTATGATTTGTTTTGTTTTGTTTGTTTATTTATTTATTTATTAAAACGTTTTTATGCCGCCCCATTCGCCGAAGCCTCGGGGCGGCTTACAAACAATAAATAAAAGCAATTATAAAATAAATCACAACACATATAAACATTAAAAATCCAAAAAATTCAATATAAAATAAGCCACCCTGGCCAGATAAGATCAAATAATATTAACAGTTAAAATACCGCTTAAATAAAAAGGTCTTCGCCTGGCGCCGAAAGCCCTCTTTCTCCCTGTTCAGCCACAGAAAATAGAGTCAACCCCATTTGTCCTATGTAGAATGTAGTGGGGCATTGCTGGCAAATGCTGGCATGCATATGTGCCCTGGCATTGCAATGATACAATTCAGTCTGGTAATCATGTTACCAAAGTAGATATGAGGAAAGAGTGAGTATCTGGGTCTGCTACTGGGTCTGGTTCTTGTACCTGTTTTTCTGGTTTTTCTTTTCTCTCCCCCACCCACCGTCCAGTTGCCTGAATAAGAAATATTTATGTTTTTGTTTTAAACATCATATCACCCAAGATATAAATACATACTCAATCTGTATAAAAGGAAAAAAAAAAAAAACAGGAATCAAAATTGAACCCTTGATTGTCCTTAGAGTTCAGACAAACTATATCCAGACAATAGAAATAAAGTGAAACAACACATATTTAATACATTACAGTGAGCCAGTGTGGTGTAGTGATTAAGAGCATGGGAATGAGACTTAGGCGATCTAGGTTCTTAGTCCCTACTTGGTCATGGAGCTTACTGGGTTACTTTGGGCCACTCACAGACTCTCAGCTCAACCTACCTCACGTGGTTGTTGTGAGGTTAAGACTGAGAGAAGGAAAAGAGGTTTATGTAAGCACGCTTGAGGTCCTTCAAAGGAAAAAAGATGGGATATATTAATTAATTTAGGTTAAAAATCCAATAAATACCACTTTATATTTTTAAACCATCAGATTAAATACTTACAATTCACTCTATCAGTTTCAAAAGAGGATCTGGGTGGCCACTGCAAACCTTGTGATTCTGTCATGCATTTGTCAGAATGGGATAGTAATGCTTGATCACCAGCAGCAGTTATATCCCTTTATAAGTAAGAATACATTTTACCATGTGCTCAGAGTACAAAGAAGAGTATAATAAGTAATGCAGAGCTTAAGCTTTGCATAAACAACATTGATCATGTACAGGTTTTTCAGAATACAATCCTTTTAATATTGTAAAGAGAGACTGGAAATGCAATGCCAGGAATGCCTTTCTACATAAAAGAACTGACAACTCATGTCAATATTTCTCAAATCCACAAAACCTTTAGAAAACACAACTGGGAAGGAAACAATGATTTCTGAATTACCTCTGTGCCTTTTATTTTATGTTGGGGTGCTATGGACTTACTACTACAAGACTTGCATGAGGGAGGCATCATTGTCCAGGATGAGGAATAGTTAGTTCTGAGTGGTTTTAGTGGGGAACAAATGGTTGTTTTCCCTTCTGGAACTAGATTATTCCCAGGTATCATCTGACCTCATTGATCAATGTTGTACTTCCCTGGGTAGGTGGTAGCATAAGAATTTACAATCTCTGTTCAAGTTGTGTAGAGTTTGGTTGTTCCACCATGGTGCCCATGAGCACCAATATGTGTGTAGCTAACTCTCTTGATATACCAGGCTTTCTGTCTTAGTGAATTTTATTTCTTTAAATTTATTTCTGGATGAAACTAAAAGCTTGCGTTCAGCTCAGAAACAAATAGGCAACCAGTGCAGCATTTTCAGGATAGATATTATATGATCCCTGACAGCTGTTCCTGACAACCACATTTTGTACCAATTATAATTTCTGGAGCATCCTTTAAATTTCTCCAGTTTGTGGACTTCCTCTTGACTCCACATACTTTCTAAGACAGGGCCAAACCCAAGAAGAAGTTTGCAAACTGAAGAGGGACAGATTCTGGGGAACTTTATCACTACACTACCATCATCCAGCCCATTACGACATTCAGGTATCAATCCAGGATTTGTACTGCTTCATGTAGGATGCAAAGATCAGGTTGAAATCCAGCTGTCTTTTACTCAAAGGAATTCTTTGCCATGTTCAGCCCAGGCTAAGAAGCAAATTGAGCTGAGATCAAGTCCACAAAGACTCAGAAACACTTGCAGTTTCTTTGTGCAAAGTATACTAAGTATGTAATTCTTTGTGTAAAATGCTTAAGTTATTTGTGCAAAGTATATATAGCCCACAAGTCACATGTGCAGAAGCAAAACTCTGCTTGAACTTTCTTCCTGCTAGATGCCCATGTGAATGCTTGGTGCAAGGTGGACTTTAGGCAGAGAGAAAGTGGGTGGGAGTTTGGAGCTGGGCTGAAGAAATCTGACAGATTTCCCATGCCAAATTGGATTTCTTACACATTCGCAGCCTCATCAGATGTTAAGGATAAATTGAGCTGGGAGTTATCAGTGCACTGCTTACACCTTACCTTGAATTACATAATAATCTAGACCAGTGGCTTCATAGATAATATAAAGTAAAACAAACCCTATGGGACACCATAGCACAATTGCCATAGGGTTGAGCAAAAGTCCCCCAGTGTTACTTCTCTGCATGTAGGAGTGGAATTACCATTTCCACTACCCCAAATTTGAGTCAGTTCAGCAAGTTAGTTGAGCAAGTGACAATGGTTAATGGCATCAAAAGCCACAAAGAAGTCCAGGAGAACCAGGAATGATACATAGCCTCCATCTGTTTCCTGGAATTGTTCATTTATCAGGACAGCCAAGATAATTTCTGACCCAACCTCTGCTTGAAACCACACTGAAATGGTTTGTGATAATTTCTTTATTCCAAGAATTTCTGGAACTGCTCAGCCACCATATACTGCTGTCATTTACCAGCAATATGCTACTGCAGTCCACATAGGACAATCAGGCCAGTCTCTATAAAGTGGACACAATCCTGACATCAGAAATGGCAATATTCACAAACCATTGGATGAAGAGTTCAAACTTTCAGGACACCTAAGTTAAGGTGTTCATGTTTGAATAAAAGAACTTCATAACTTTGTTCAGTGTGGAACAAACTACAATTCATCAAGAAATTCAGATGGAACTCCTGTAGCTTGAATAGGGATGAGTTTCTTAAAGTCATACTATGCAAATTAATCAGCTTGTCCATGAAAAACTGTCTGTCTTATTGCCCAGTAGCTACTGTGAATAATGTAATTATCATTATCTGCACCCTGACCTCACCATTTACAGTCAAACATAACACACTCATCATATGTATACATATGTTATAATCCATCTACAAAATCTTATGCCATGATAAGTTTGTTAGTCTTTAAGGTGCTACAAGCCTCTGTGTTGTTCATTCTGCAACAAACAAATGTAGGGAGACTTCTGGAAATCTTTCCAATTCTGTCTCAGGTGCAGAAATTAAGTCTTGCGTTTGAAAAGGTAAAATAGCACATGAAAAACAGACTAGAGTCACAGAATAATGTGGCTTTTCTAGTTATGAAACTGTGAAGTAATGGAATGTATATTGACTCTTTTACATGACAGAATTCTGCATGGTGCTCACCACAAGGTAATGGCAGAATATAATACAGCAGCTGAATAAGCTTTATTTGTTCATGTATTTATTTTATGAATTTGCCCTTAACCTAGTTCTCTGGGCAATTACAGCAATAGATCTGAGAAAGTTAATAACTCTGACTTGGATCCAAAGTCAGCTTTCTATGGCCAGAAAGGTTCCTTCCATCTGTGGATCATTTCTGTACCAGTAGAGAATATTCACTGGTTGAATGGGGAAACTAGCTGTTTTCACCAATTCCTCTTCCCCTCCGCAGCCCATTATGACTGCTGAAACACTGGGAGCTGCAGTGGATTGGGAGAATTGGCAAAAAATTGCTTGCCTTCCTATCATCCAACGTGGAAGTGTGATCAGGAGCACCAAAACCCTGGAAGAGATATAGCAAAAACAACCCTATCATGCCAACCCTGAATATTTTCATTCTATCTGTTGTATTGTCTCTCTTGATTTAATTCAATGTCTTTTACATGAAACATAGTTAACAACATTGTGTTTGTTATATGTACATTTTTTGTGAGTAACAGGATGTAACCATTTGAAAATGACACATACCATTGTATTTGCAGTGTGAATTTTGCTTTCACGTTGATTTCTTTTTATTGTTTCCTAGCCATGCTTACTAAGTCTCTGCTAGTGCATATATGCATTTTCTCTGAGTTAGGCAATGTTGACTTACATCCTTACTAAATAAATGTGAGTTCCCTTTCTCTTTTTTCAGCAGTAACATAAACAGTAGAATACATAAATAGTACTGCACTTACCACTGGACCATTTTTAATCACATGACTATTCTTGTACATTCAGAATTAAAATTTATTAAAATATTTTGTTTTCTAATTTACAAGGTAATGGAATTCTTCTGTTATTTGATAGCTCCTGTGCTCTCATAGAAAGAGAATGTCCAAACTGATGGGACTCATAAAGCATCTCTCCACTTGGTTTTATACAGTTAAACTTAGTCACTAATTATATACATACATTTATTTATTCATTCATTCATTTATTTTTCAGCTAGTGGACCGTGTATTTGATGAAAGTCTAAACTTCAGGAAGATTCCTCCAGTAGTAAATTCTAAAACACCAGATGGCAGCACTCGGCCTAATGATCCCAAACCACAGCCAACGGATACACCTGAGCCCCCCACAATTACACGCCGTCGCACTTGGAGTAGGGATGAAGTAAGTGCAGTATCTGCAATACTTTAAAATACTTTTAAAATTACAAACACACATAAGAATGCCTAGTGTTACATGGAAAGGCTTAGATAGTCTGGTATGACCCACCAAGGGAAGGTAGGAAATGTATTCTTAGGTACAACGGAAAAACCATATGGTTAACAGAAATATCATGAAAAATATTTCCCAAATATATTCAAGGTTGTTATTACATAATTTTATTACAAATTTCATTTTCTAAAGTATTCTTAGCAGCAATCAGAACAATGATAGAAAAGATCTTTTAGATCATAACTGAACTAGTGGCAAATCCAGTATTGTTAGGCTAAATGGCAAATGATGGTATTCAGTGTGAATGGCTTAGAATGGAGGTCTGCTTACAGAAGAGCGAACTCCTGCTGCTACTATTTCACCACAGCCTCCTAATCTTCTAAGCTGCTCTTTGAGGGACTGGAGTCTGTTCAGAAATTGAGTAGAAACTGGCAGAAAACTGCATTATGGTGAATCCAAGCCAATGTGCTTGTGATACAGAAGGGAATGCATTTGTTTGACCATTAGCTATTAATGTACCACATGCCAGCCACATATCAAGAGTCCCATAAGAGCAGTGTTGAAACTACATGAATTCCATTATAATCGATATGTGTTAATCTTCTGCTTTTGGCCATGTTCTGCAGTTCTTTCCATACCGAAAGTTACACAGTTTGATTACAGTTGCTTATTTCTGCAGCTCTCAGAATGGATGCTTAACTTCTTGAAAAAAATACTTGTATTTTTCATTTTAATTATTTATGCATATTATTTAAAAATTTGGAAGCCCCCTCCCCATTTTACAAAAATGAATGAGATGACTGTATTTATTTATTTATTTAAAACATTTCTATGCCACCCCCATAGCAACAAAGCCTCGGGGCGGCTCACAGTAAATGTATTAACAATTAATGAATAAAATAGTGGTGTAGCTATCAGCCTATCAAATTTATTTTTAAAGTTTAATTCTAAGAATAATGTATTTTTGTAGTTTATATATACATTTATGATGGTATTTTTAGATTGGAGCAAAGGTTTCAAAATTATGTATATGCCTTATAATTTCATTCTGTATAGTCTGAAGTGCCTGATCCTGTGTAATCTTTGAAGCTAAGCAGGGTCAGGCCTGGTTAGAATATGGATGGGAGACTTGAATCTTGGATTGAGCAGGAGGTTGGACCGTATGGCCTTCTAGGCCCCTTCCAACTCTATGATTCTATCTATAACATGTTTCTTAAGTCAAAGATATACATGTAGCTCTTACATCCAACATGAGAATAACCATATGGGGAGAAAAAGCCATGAGAATCTTGTTTTACTTTTTTCAATGCAAAATAGAAACAATTTGGTTCAGTGAAATGTTGTCTTTTCAAAATATTACAGGTTATGGGGGATACCTTGCTGTTGTCCTCAGTCTTCCAGTTTTCCCGGAAAATTAGACAATCTATAGATAAAACAGCTGGTAAAATCAGGTAACATGTGCTCCTCGTTAATGAAATGTTCTTGTAAAAACCGTTATTAAAGGCATGATATTTGAATTTGACTGTAATAATATTCTACTAAAATTAATGGGAAATCTTCAGTTTGCTTTAATGGGAATAGACTGAGCCCTTTTCTCTTTTTTATTACCCTGCATATTTTACTGAACTGCATATTAAAATAGTCATTTCAAAGAACTTATTTTGTGAGGTAGCAGATGAGCATACCAGGAAGTACATTGCGTTTCTTGCTGAATTCTTATCTACCCTTTTAGTAACATTCTCTGTGCAGTGGCTGTTATAGTGCTTGAGTTTTAAGAATAGTTTGGCTCTAATGGCCATGGCTCACTGAGGACATCTATAAAGTGGGCCATGCATAGGTAACGAATTTGCATAATACCTACATCCAAAAAGAAGACAAAACAAAACAGGTAAAGGCCGAAATTGCACAACTGACTTACAGATTTTTCATAGGATGTGTTTGAGCTGATGCATACTAGATTTGTTTCCATTTACAAATCTACGCAGATATGAAGCCTAGAAGCAGAGCAGATTTCCCTCTTCCCACATGCATAAAGCTGATAAATTCACCAGAACCAGTTTGAACTGGTTGCATGTGTGCACCACTGGCTGTAACAAGATGCTGCCATAAAACACTTGTATAAATTCATATTTCATTAAATTGAAGATAAATTCAAATGCCCCAGTGGTTAGGAAAAAAGAAAATGTGAGGAAAATAACTAAGAATGTTCCTGCTTCTCTATCATCTGTGCTTTTAATTAGACCTGTCACTTCGCAGGGCCACAATAATGTCTCTTCTATAAATAGCACAACTACACACAGCTCAAGTTGTGAACTAGTTTTTAACCTGATGCCATTTGGAAATATGAAGAAAATGTCTAATGCCAATTTTTCTGCTAGGCTCTTGCTGTAATAAAATGATTCTTGCCATACAGTACTGTCAATTAGAGTTCTTCACACCTGTCCCTTCCCATATTTCTACATTAACAACTGCTCTTTTGGTTGTATCTACTCCTTATTCTCTAAAACACTAAACATATAATCCACCCTTTTTAAAATGTTAAAAAATGTTCTGTAGCTTAAAAGCCATGACACACTGCATTATTTCACCGGACCTTACAAATATGCAAGATGGGGCAGTATCAGTATTCCCACATTACAGACATGGGACTGAGACTGAGGACAATTTGCTTTCAAGTCACATAAGCTGCAACCCTGTACCTACTTAGCTGTCATTATGCCCACTGAATACAAGGGGACTTACTTCTGTGTAAATAGGCATAGGATTGGTGCTCCAGAATCTTTATGATTGAGATTACATATGAATGAAGAACTTCGAGCTCATGCACTATTAACATGTCATTTAGTGTGCAATCCTGTGGAAACTTAAGCTCCAGAACTCAGAGGCACTTGCCCATCCCCTGCAGAGCAGATTCTACAGCAGAGGCGATCTTTACCTCGCCCCTTGTCCTGCTCAGCTTTTTCCCTGGACAGCCATTCTCAGTTGTCTAGCTGGAGCATTTCAGAAGGGAAGGGAAGGCTGTATCCTGGCTGCTGCAGTCTGCAAAGTGATGCAAACTAAGAAGAAACACCTTGAAACTGAAAGTACCACAATATAAAAGCTGGCCTACCTATTCCATGTTAGTGTGTATTGTACAACATTCCAGCATAAATGCAGGAACAAACTTCTGACTGCATCTGTTTTTTTTTTTTTCCTTTTTTTCTTTTCTGGGTTCCCAAATTCTTTTTTTTTTTTGTCATTTTTACTGCAAGTTATTAAGGATGAATAAGATATTTAATTAGTCCCATTGCTAGTTTCAGTCAAATTTTTTAAAAAGTGGAATATGCTTCTAGATGGACAAGTAAAGTTGATATTTCATGCTTGCTCATACCTATATCCAGTCAAATCAGTATGGTTTTTATATTGTATCTTAAGTACAGGTAAGTTTTAAAAAATCAAACTTCATCTTTTCAGTTTTAATTGTGCAACTGTACTCTTTTCTAGAAAAGTATAGGTTCAGAAGAACATGGAAAAAATGGGTGTGCATAGGTTTTTTCCTGAAGTTTTGCTGAAGTTTTGTTTTGCCGTTGCCCCCTCCCCGCCCCAAAATGGAAAAAGATAGGTTGAAGATTATTTCCTTTAGAATTATGAATAAAATGTTTCAGATAAGGTGTTCTTATATTTACTTCCACAATCATTTTCTAAAAGTTATGTAATTCATGTTTGTTTAAGACAATATCAGATTATATTAGTTCTTATGCTCTGAGGACTTCCTAGGACTTAGCAGGTCCTATGCCGTAACCGGAGACTTTACTCTCAAATGCAAGGCAGGATCCATTTCTGCCTCTAGTGGACAGTGTCATTGTCTCAAGAAAAGGAAGATGTGTGCATTTCTTCCCTGGTTGCTGGCATCCTCTTCCCAGCGTAGCTGGTGGATCTGTTTCTGACCTTTTGACTAGGCCTCAAAGGACTGGAAGAAAGTACAGAGCAACAAAAAAGGAGCTGAAAGTATAAAGGTAAGAATTTTAATTTATCTGAATTTAGAAAATGGAACCATGTTTTAATTGCATTCATTTTGCTTCATAACTTTTCATAAATATTTAATTCCTACACATCTGATGGTTTCTTGCAGTGTCCCTCCTCATAGTAGCTTAGTGTTTACTGGCATGCTAATCACTAAATTTTATTTTCTTTCCTTCCCCTCAGCAAAATGGTAAGACAAACAGATGGAAACATTTCCCCACTGCAAGTTCTTCTGAGGAAAAAAAAACCTGAATTACAAACATTGTCAAATAAAACATACATTTCCAGAAACTAGTAGGATGACAAATGCACCCTTGTATCATGGAAGAAGTGTTCTGCAGACATTAAAAACTCCTTCATGGATGAAAATGTGGGAAACCATAAGAAAGAAAGTAGAAGCAGCTTTTCCAAAAGTTTTCATTCTGGAATATCTCTTTCTGCTCCTTCGGTAACAAGAGCACCATCACAGAGTGTTCCTCATCACCAACAGCATCTTCAAGTAAACAAATATTATGATCAGCTGCATCCAAAAGAATACTAAGTAGCTTCATTTGTAGACAAGTTGACACCTGCGGATTAGGAAAAGATTTACCAAGCTCTTGAAAACACTGTTTTTCCTGGAACCCCTCTGTGATGCTAACTGGCAGGAAGCTTTTTAATTACTAAGACCATCATGTTGTTTGCCTAGCAGACATTAAGCAAGCTTCTTTTAGAGGCGGAATATGAATATGTAATCTAATCTGTGCAAGATATAAAAGCATCAGTGAGGTACCGTAACTTGCAATACTTACAGATAGATGGACAAGTAGCAGAGAAGGCATCATTAAGTTTATTATAACTATACCGCAGCCAGTTTTTTTTAACAGAAACATTGAAGCAGGAGAGAACAGACATACTGCAGTATATATCACTTGCATCGTATGTGAAATCCTACAGAAAATTGGGAGTGTTTATAATGGAATGTAAATTATGTAAAGTATGGGATAAACTTCCTTCTTAATAACATCATGAAACTAGACTTTCTCCAAAAGATGAGCAAAAGTCATCCTAAAACAGTCTTCTCCAACCTGGTGGCCTTCAGAGGCATTTGGACTGCAATTCGCAGAATATCCATTCAGCAGGGCCATTCACTGGGAATTCTGAGTGTTGCAGTTCAGACATGTCTGGAAGGCACAAGGTTGGGGAAGGCATATAAACACTACTCATACTGTTTCTCCAGTCTTCAAGAAGACACAAGAAAAATGACACTGAAGGTCTGTAGTAAAATTTGATGGGATGGAGTAGTGATCGCCATTAAAAGTTTTATTTTTAAAAAAGGGAAAGCTTCAAGAAATAATAATTGAGGATCTTAATGTACCCTGACATATAAGGGACACTTGATGACCCCATCTTCAGGATTCAGCTTCAAAACTCCATCAAGTTTCTAAGGTCAGTTTATTCAGCAATCACTACATCTGACTCAGCACACTTTGTCAGAAATTGCTTAACAAATGGCTAAGATAAAAACAACTGTTTTGGAGAATCTAAGTATGCCTCCACCTCAAAATTATAGAAGAAAGTGAAATGTTTTATTAAGAAATGAGAAGATTTTTTGTTGCTGTTCAATGCGTGCTGCTGCAATTTTGTTGAATTCAGGTTTCCAAGACAGAAATCTAAGTGATGATAATGCTGTTGCAGCATTTAGCTGGATTACAAAACAAGCAGCACATTGCAACTTGATGCTGGCAAGGTACTTAGCTGAATATATCTTCAGAGGTTTGGATCAGGAATGTAGTCTGGGATTCTTCCAGACCTACCCCTCCTGAAACATTGTTGCAAGGCTTTTGCACAACACAGCTTCTGACTCCTCTTGTTTCCTGTCTACTTCAGATTCTTCCAGCTTTTGTTGCATGTGAAAGGAATCAGTCAGGAAATGAATTGATGTGTAGAAAGGCAGAGATATTTTGCTTCAGTGTGACAAACCTTCATTCTTTAGAAGATCATGCTAATTATGAAGACAAAGAGGAAGAAACTGCAAAAGAAGAAACAAACTGAAAGCAATAGCTCTGAGTGATTACATCTCATGTATAATCATTAAACTTTGGTTCTACCACCACCATCCCCAGCTCTCACTTCTTTTATGGGACACTATGAAGGAGACATAATTTGCTTTGCTTCACTAATACTGATGATTTCATCTATTTTTGTTTTTTGCCTGTTCCTCATAAACTGGCAAAATCAAAGTGGTTCCTTACAGTTCAGGATCCATAAAAGTTTTTTTTATAAAATGTAATTTATAATTACTGCCTGAATAAACCATCCTTTTAATATACCAAATATGATAACGTTATGCCAAACCAAGTTATTCATAATACTTTTTACTCTAAAGTAACAAACTGACTTTCAGTGTGTGGAGGGTACCATTTTTTCCAGTTTTTAGCAAAAAAAGGGGGGAGGGGGAGGAATGGGTTTTTCCCCCCATGGATTCAAAGTATAAGGAAATGTTATATCTTTACTCTTCCCAGAAACTTCACAAGGTTGTTCACATACATTATGGCCTACTAGTTCATTAGGAGTGATTTTATTTGTCAGTGATATTTTTTTGAAATATGCTGTGAGTTAGGAACATGTGACTGAGCTTTTAATCTAATTATTCAGGGTGGTTAGAATAGGGTTTTTTTCCTGCATCAGATCTAGAACTGTATCCTTAAGCTATGTTTGTTTCTCAAGATAACCTAACAGTAAGGGGGTAAAATCCAAAGGGGTCTGGTACCACTGGCAGGATGGATTTCCTCCCACCCCCTCAAAATCTACTCTAGAGGGTTGGGAAACCTCTGGAGCAGATGTGAGGGCCCATAAGTGGGTGTAGGGGAGGGTACATTACCAACTGAAAGTCTGCTCATGCAATACTGAAATCCACCTCTCATTCACAAAGTGGTTGGGAAAATCATAGGTTTTACTTCCAGTATGGTTTTAGCACTGCCCATTCGGACATCAGTTTTCTTCAGCCACCAGCATATAGGAACTGAGTGACTATGCCTTGGGTTCCAAGGCCAGAATCCTTTATAGTTTTCTTCTGTGTAGCGTTTTCTTCTTTTCTTCTTATCAGCACAGAAAAGTAATATGGTTTGCTGTATTGCAGAATCTAAATTATGAAAACCACGTGTATAGGGCCAGAAAACTGGGGAAAGTACTATCTTTGTTATCTTAAGGGTTTCGTTGTTTTATGCCTCTCTGTATTTGCACACAGTACTCCAGATGCTGATCATTTCATTCTCTGCCAAATTTAGTCTCCTTTTTGTGAAGAAAGGGAAATGGCTCCCCTGGAACCAAAAGTTCTATCACTATTTTAGCTCTATCAGCAGGACAGAGAACCCGCTGGTAAGGTCAAATTAAACAGTGATATTGTAATGGAATGACTGCATACATGAAGGAATATTTTGTGGCATTTCTTCAATAGAGTCACTTTCCAGTGCACAAATAATTTAGAAAATGCCATTGTCAGCAAATGCACTGACAGCCATTTTGTTATTACTTTCATAACCTACTGGTGTATGCTCATTTCCACATGACTTCCACTGCAGATTAGACCACAGGCATTGAAAGAACAAAGTTACCAGATTTAATATTATTATAGATCTGAACTCTGGATAAGATAGTGTTATAAAAATAATGGAAATAAATAAACTCTCATCCTACTACTCTTTTAAGTCTTGCATGTGCCACATTTGAGCAGAAATTATGCTTTCCACCATGCCAGTATTTTCATCATCCTATTCACAAGTTGTGAGAAATACAGCACCTACAGTGGGGGATCACTGTAAAATGAATAAACTCTGCACTTTTTAATACGCCTTCGTGTGTGTATTTGTCTGTACTTTCAAAAGATATGGCATTTTTGCCTCGAAGAAGATAAGTATATGCTTTCCATATGTACAACAAATATCAATTGGCACTTCAAGCAGTATTCAGTTAGAATTTTCAAGATAGTTAACCAGCTTTTAGTTTCATTGATTCATACAAATGTTTATATCACTCTTATGTGCTTCTTGGCTATAGAATATTATTTAAGGACAAAGATCGGAATTGGGAAGATATTGAAAAGAAACTGCGAGCCGACAGTGATATCCCTATAGTGAAAACATCAAGCATGGTATGATAAAATAATACCTTTCACTGTCATATAGCCATGTTGAAAAAGGAAAAGGGTTCACAATCTTTGCTAAAATTTTAAAGTATTAAAAGGTTGGCGCTACAGTAAATTACAATACAAAAAAATTAACTTAGCAATCCTGTGAATGTTAGACATGTGTAGTCCAGGCATCCATAGGATTGTGCCCTCAGTTGCAGCAAGAGAACTTTAATGTACCATGATTTATATAATGCTGAGGACATGCTGAGCAACATATATATCCTCAGCTTGAGGAAAGGCAGTTTCCAATGTTCTGCAGAGCTGAATAGTAAATGATTAAAACCAGTATCCATTGCTTGGGATAGTGGAATGGATCAGGCCTCCTTGCCTGGTGTTTGCAAAGTCCTCTTTCAAACAGGAGGCAAGGATGATAGCTCTGCTTTAAACTGCTGGCCCAGTTTCAGTGATGCAGAGTGGATCGGGCCTCCCCACCTCCTGTTCAAGAGTAGACCTCTAGAGTAGCCAGTAGGGTTGGCATCTCCAGTATATACTGTTGTTCTACATTGGGTGACAGTAGAAGGCAGATCAAGTCTTCCCATGTACTGCTCAAAAGGTCTACCCTCATGCAGCATGCAGGAATGACATGTCCACACTGGCTTCACTCCCATGCTTGGCTCCAAAAGGTGGTGCGTGGGGGATATTACATAGATTCTTCTATAGGGTTTGGTTCCATATCTCATTCTTCTAATGTTTACATGGAACAGTTGAGTGGAGTCACTGGGAGTTTAGGAGTGCATTGTCATCAAATCTTAGTGACATATAGCTCTGTTTCTGCTTTTCATTGGCATCAGGTGAAGCTATAGGGGTGCTAAATTGGTGCCTAGCTATCACAGTAGACTGGATGAAGGCTAATAAGGTGAAGCTTAATCCAGAGAGGACTGAGACTGTTAATGGATGGTTTTTCTGACCAGGTGGGCAGTGTTCAACCTATTCTGGAGGAGTTGTGCTCTGCCTGAAGGATCAGATTCATAGCTTGGGGTTTCTCCCAGAGTCATCTGTCATTTGAGGCTCAAGTGGTTTAATTGGCATGGAAGCCCCTATCTAAATGGGGTTAACCAGGCCTCAGTAGTCTGTGCTATGCTAACCTCCAAACTAACTTGCTTGCACTTTTGATGGGACTGCCTTAGAAGACAGTTCAGAAACTATAGCACAAAGTGATTATGGAAATCAGTCACTTTGCCAGCGTAACACTGTTTCTGGCCTATTTACAGTGGCTGCCTGAATGTTTTCAAGTCAGTTCAAAGTGTTGGTTTTCATATATAAAGCTTACACAGCTTAGAACCAAAATGCCTGACAGAGCCCCTCTCCCAACATGAATCCATCCATGTACTACAATAGTCATCTGAAGGAGGTTTGGAGTGTGGTAATGAGGGCCTTTTGAGTGGTATCCCCCAATGTGGAATGCCCTTCCCCCTGAGGCCTGCCTGGTGCCAGCACTGTCATCCTTTTGGCTCCAAGTGACTCCTCTGCCACTTGCCAGGTTTTTATGCAGTCCTTGGATGTTTATTGCCGTGTGTTTCAAATATTTGTTTTTATATTGGTTTTATATTGTATTTTTAGGATTTAATCCTTTGCAAACCACACAGAGAGCTTTAGCCATTGGGTAGAATATAAATGTTAATCATAATAATTTAAAAGTACTATGAAAATCTCAATTTCTCTTCAGTTTACTAAATGTTATTATAGTATACTTGGAGTGTTGAAATGTGGGTTTTTCCTCCTTGATAAAAACTAATAAAAGTTGTAAATGTGGTCCTACAGGAAATATCATCAATACTGCAAGAACTGAAGAGAGTTGAGAAACAGCTTCAAGGTATTTATTTTTCTATTTCTATATTGCTAAGTGAATGTTTTCAGAATATCATACTGTGCGGCCTTTAATTTAATTAGTTTGGAAAGCCATCCTAAGTGCAAATAAAAGTTATATAGGGCATAAAAACTAGTTCCAGAGAGAAATGAAAACAATCTCTGGTTTCAGTTACAAGACAAAAGTCGTTCCTCCTTTTCTATGCAGGAGTACCCGTTTACTTTTCTTCAGACCCTTAGTTTTTGCCCTGGAAAGTTGCAGCAGAGTGCTTGCCATGTGATTGCTTCCAACAATGCAATTAGTGTATCTCACAGAAGGTCACGGCATAAATGGGAAAGATTTCCCCAACTCTGCAGGTGACTCTTCAGTCAGCAGCTACCATCCCCAACAGCTGACAGAGCAGCTGGGCTTACACAATATGGTCTAAAAGCCTGTATTATTTCTCCAGCACAAGGATTTTTGCCCAGATTTGCCAGTCAGATGATCACGTGGTTACCTGGGCAACACAGTTTCCATTCTACATCCTCCTGGTCTTGCCATGCATTGTGGCAGCCCTCACAAGTGAAATCGTCATCCTTTCCCTACCTTTGGACTACAGCATCTTCCTCCTGGTTGGCCCATCAGGAAGTTTTCCCCTATCCCCTTCCCAAATGTACCTGTGTGTTTGCAGCATTTCCCAGGCACTTCAACTCCCACATAAATGTTTATTAAATGAAAATAAACAGTTTTGCTTTGAATCCCCCCTTCTCCCTCCAGGTATTTTCACTCTGTCCCTGTTTCCAAAACAAACAGGAAGATGGATATGTCACTTTGCCAATGGGAATAAAGTGATTAATAACATACCTATTGCTAGGGAGCTGCGGACAATAAAGATTGATAGGGAAGAAGTGGCCACTTCTGTGGCTGCTTTTGCCAGGGGACACTGAGGTATTTCCATACCAGCAATGGTAAAATGGGGATCCTGGGTCCAGACAACTGAAGAAGCCATTGTGAAATATGGAAGCCTTAGAACAGACTGTTGATTCTCTCTGTGGTTTCAGAAAATTAATCTTGTTATTTAGGAAATCCAGAACTGGGTCCAGAGGACAGAACAGATCCACAATGTTAAGATTTCACCATGTTTTCTCATGTCATACAAACCTGCCCAGAGCCTGTTGATATGAGAAACCCTTCTCTACACTTTCAAGCTGTGGTATTTCAAACCCTGCATAACCTTTTAGGTGAAATTTCCTGGAAATTACTCATTTTGAACCCACTTGATGATTTTGCCTAAATCTACATTCTGCATTTACATTCTTCTGAAATTGCACTCCCTTCTGAGCATGATTCAAGAAATTTCTGAATATAATGTAACTTTGGCTCAACTGCGTATCCTGGTAGCTTTCTGGGACTCTGTTGTTCCCTTGCATCTGTTAGTCTTCCTACAGAAAATCAGTTCTCAGCTGGATCCTGCTTCACAGATTAAAAAACCCCCATCAGTCTCAATAATTCTCAAGAAGACTGTTGCTCTGCACCTGAAGGAGTTAGGTCTGTGAAATCTACATATTCGGTGCAGTTATTGCAGCACTCGGAGACATTCAAGGGTTCTTTTTCTCCAGGTTTCCAATTAGCACAGGGTGTGGCCAGCAGGAATTGCATCTGTCCCATCTTCTCTTGTAAAGCTTTCCATTGTTTCTCAATTGTTTTGGACAATGCAGAGAATCCCAGGGAAGAAGGATTTCCTTATTCTTTCTTAGGTCAGGGTTCTGTGGTGTTCAGATCTGATGAAGATATCTGGAAAAATGCCCAGACCTGCTTTGGACTTTATTGTAGCCTGCACATTGCATGTATTCCTTTTACCCTCAATAACTTTTACCGCTTTACTTTTACCCTCAATAATGTTTTCATTACTGTACAACTTAAGGAAGAGGTTCTAGGATCATATTTTAACATTTTCGTATGCTTTAGCCTTTGTCTTCCCACACACTAGAGGTTTATTTCTTCATAATTTTCAGGAGTTACTTTTTCTGTTTTGTCCCATCTTCAGTATTGTATGTATTGTAAGTGTTTAGAGTCTGGGGATTTAGGCAGAACTATTCAGAGAAGAAAGCAAGAATGCAATATATGACTACCCACATCAGATAGCCCCATGACAAGAGCATTATTTCATTTTATAGGGTCTCAAGAATAGGCAGCAAAAGTTTGGTTCTCTGAAAAAGAAGGTGTGGTGTTTGATAGGGCAAGCCTGCATCAGCAGCAGACTGAGGATTGTGTAGAAACTGACCCCATTTACTGTGTGATCATGCTGGTGGTGTAATGTATAAGTCTTCTCTGAAATAAGTCTTTTGTATATGTGTCCTCTAGAAGCTGACTGCAAAGGATCCATGGAAAGATATATTCTTTCACTGAGCATATAATCTTGCTCTGTTACTGGGATGGCGAGTTTTAACACAGTAACATTTTTGTGCTTTTCAACAAGTAGACACTGCCTAGCATCTAATTTGCTGCAGTCACATGAGGGGTGTCTACATCTGTTCCTCAGTCATTCCTCAGTAAAATTATGTTTCTCAAGATCTGTTTCTGGAAAATTAAATAGTTGAATGATGATGGTGCTCAAAATAGTGTCCTTTTCATTTTAAGAAATGATAGGAGTTAAAATTAAAAGTTTGAATATTACTAGAATATTTTTGACAGCTAACAAGTTTTGATATTGATTTTTTGCCAACTTCTGTTCCTCTTTGTTCAGTGATAAATTCTATGATTGACCCTGATGGAACACTGGATGCTCTGAGCAATTTGGGATTCGCTACCCCTGTCCCAGCAACTCAGCCTAAGCAGAAGTCCAGCCCTGTTTCTCAAAGTACCCATCCTCAGATACAGTCAAACTGTACACCAGAAGCAAGGGCTGTTCGACCAGCCATTGCTTCTGCCTCAAGTGAACTTGGCAATGTTGAATCTGAGCATGACTTCAGTATTCATTTTAATAGGTTCAATCCAGATGGAGAGGAGGAAGACCCAGCTTTGCATGAATGACACAAATGTTATACGTACCTTTAGTATTGAATGTGCAGAAGTTAATGAGTCATGCCATTGTTCCAAAAGCTTGGTGAAATTGCCATTGCTTTATTATACCAAGTACTTAACTGTGATGTTTTTGATGTCACACCACTTGACTCTAAGGTAAACATTGGTACTGACACTGAAATGCAGTTGGTGGTAATTTTATGGGCTTTACAAGCACTTACTATGAATTGTTTCCTCTATAGTTTAATTAGTTTAAACAGACTGAAAGCAGGTGAAAGTCCATCACTATTGAGCTTCTAAATCTCCTGTGCCAAGCTGATTTGTAATTGAGCCTCTTTACTTAAATTTGTATAACATGATCAATCACTTAATTTTTTTTTCTGAATAAGGGAATCTAAATTAGGACATATTGCATTTCAATACCATGGAACACTACAGTACAAGGAAAAACAAGCTTCACAACCCATTCAGTGTTGCATACAGAAGCTTTCAAACTACAGAAGCTTTGTGATTTATATAATTTCATTGGTATGTACATTGTCTTGGGGTTTCAGAGCTCAGATATTATGTTTGCACTAACAATCTGCCAGGAGTGGAAGGTGAACATATCAGTATCCCAAGGGGCTAATAATCTTTTACTTAGGAAATTGGACATAATTGTACGGAAGAAAGAAAGGCCCCATCAACGCAGCTGTTTGTCCACTTCACAGAAGGATCTAATTGGCCCTCACTGATCCTGGTCAATATGTCTTTTTGATGTTGATGAAAAGTAAATGTCATATCATTTCTGTCCAGATGTTTGGAAATATGAAACCAGTTTAAATGTATAGCTATGTAAGTCTGTTGCTTGAAATCCTTTCTCATGCTGTCACACCAAGGTCAAACAGAAAATGCATTCATAAGTTCTCCTTGAGATGATCATGAGTTGTAAATTTTTCTTCAGAAGATTTGGAGGTAGTGTAGTAATGATCTGGTCAATAGACTGACTCCAGGCATTCAATTGCTCATGTTTTCCTGTAGACTCTCTAGTAAGTCTATCTTATATGTTTATAAGAATTTCTGAAAAGAAAGTGCTAACATAGGCCTTTGCTTATATTACTTACAACTAAAGCTATTAAAATATCCCATATAAGCCTATTTATCTTTAAACTTGTCCCAGTAACTTAACATTTGGAAATAATAATAAAATGTTCATGATCTTGTATTTCCAGAACACTGTAATTCAAGAACGCCTGTTAAATGCAACTAGTAACTGGAATTTTCTTGTGTTTTTTTTTCCTTCGGTCTATATATTAGGGTTACAAGTACAACTTGGAAGCTTTTATGAAGTAGTCTTTAATATTTCAGCAATAATCTTATGTGTGACTTGTTTAAAATAGTTTTTTCCTGTACATTTTTAAACTGTACAGGATTTTGGAAGTCATTGCAATGCCTGACCAATTAAATATAGAAAAACACTTTTTTGTAGAGATATAAAAATAAAAACCCAATGACCCTGTTGTATATTGGATTCAATTTTGTTGCTTTACACTTAAAAACTGCCTTTTGTCAAGCTCTGTATCCCACTCTCAATTACCAGAAGTCAGGAAACTACTTGTTTACAGGTGCAAAGTTTAAACTGGTGTAGGACAAAATACATTGAAAGAAGTGACAAGCTTTTAGCCATCATCCTTCCTTCCTTTGTTTTCAGTGCTTGGAAGGAGAACCATCAAGACACAAGTATGGGAAAATAGGAAATGCTTATGGATAAAATAAACATGTAGGCTCTTCACACAAGTCTTTTTGTGTTTTGTTTTTTTTCTGATGTTTACACCTTTTGTTCTGTAATAAATGTTTGCCTTTACAATGTTCTTATTTGTATGGACACATATGTCTTATTTATTTTTGTTACATTTATTATGTATGTTGTTACAAGCATTTACAGCTCCATTTTTAAATAAAGTGTTTCTGGAACTTTATACAATAATTTGATATATATGTGTGATTAACTGTGTGAACAATCAATGTTCATGATATGTTTTAAATTGGCTTTAGTAATTATGAAGGGATATTTCCTCAATGTACTGTGTGTTTGTGTCTGCAAATTAATTTTGCTGCACTTTGGACAAAGTTTGTGCAAAAACGAATAAACCATTTACTCTATAATAGGTGTTCATACAGAGATCTGTAGAAGGCAGAAACAGCATATATGCAGTTATACAAACCTGTCATTTCCTTTAAGGTGAGGAGAATTGGGTAGGATCCAGAGAAACTTCTTAGAGAAGCAGGAACTGCTTCCACCATGCAGTGTTTCTGAATTTCTGCAGATGCTTTCTCAGTTATAGCCCACTGTCCTACATTATGTTGTTAGGAAGTTCTCAAAATCCCCTGGAGTGGCTTTTAGGAGCTGCAAAGGCTACACCAGGAGCTAAGAGCTGGGGAAGCCCTTGGTATTAGCAGAGTAGTGCTCCCAATTCTCTTGATACTGTAATATATCTGGGAATACCAGGAAATCAGGGCGGTGCATCAAGGGAAAAAAGGAATATATAGTAATTACTATGTAACTGGGTTTATTGCCTAAATCTGACTTGAAAACATCTGACTGTTTGGATAGTGCCATACAAGGTCCCTAATGCCCAGTTCTTTGGTAAGTATGGATAGGGTTCCAACCTTAGCTATTTGGGCCATCTTAGGGAAGTTATTGTATCTCAGATTAACGTGTTGGAGGATCAAATGCCTGCATAGTTATCCATTGAGCTAGCATGTCAAGTTATGTTTGCTAAGCTGGAAAGGTGCAGGTCTGCAGCCAGATGAGTAACCACATGTGGAATCAGAGCAGGGGGTTGGATTCAATGGCCTTATAGACCCCTTCCAAATCTACTTCAATTCTACACTAAAACAGGATGGCCTGTCTGCCTGACCCTAGGCACCCTGTAGTAGCCACAAAAATGCTTTTTTTTCTTCTTCTCCTGAATGGTTTCTCCCTTTGTGCTTGCTGAAAAAGGGTACACAGGGTGGGCAGAACAATGAGTGGATTTTTGTGTGAAAATTCTTGTGAACTTGGTCCTGGTACTAAACACAAATTTCTGAGCTGAGTGAGTGCTCCGACATACCCTGTTCCTTATGCCGTGCCACCTGAACTAGTATTTTGTACCAACTTCAGTTGGTGGGCCTCAGTGTAAAGTCTGCCCACTCCTGTTTCAGGGCATACAACTATGAGAAATCAATAAATAAACCAAATTGTCAAGTATCATTTTCCTTTGAAAACCTACACCCAAATGTGAGAAGGTTTTAGGCTTCCATTATCTGTAAAATATCCAGAGATCTCATTCCTGGTGTGCTCAATAATGGTAATGGGCACTAGATGGCACACTGGCTTGCCATTTAAACGGTATGTTCCGTGTTAAAACAAGTTTGTGCCCAATCATTTTGTTATTCAATATATTTTATGCTGCCTATTCATGCAGAACCCTACACCCACAATCTGATTTACAAAAAAATTACAGATAAAATTCTAGTAATATAAATACCAAAAAATCCAGGGCAGCAGTAAAATAGCAGACACCATTACAACCTTTAGCTTACAGGCTAATCAGGTAAACAGTTGAGCCAGGCTATTTCAAATGAGGCAGTTTGGAAAGATTCTGCAATTCTTTTGGATGAGCTAGATCTCTCCCACCTGCAGGTGACCAGAAATTGCAAGAACTTCCCAAAATGGGAAGTTGACACTTCCCATCTGTGTGCTGTTGGCACTTCCGGGGGCTGCCGAAAGACAGTTGTCCAGACTGCGAAAAAATCATGGATTTGTTCCTGCTTTTCCATCAGAGAAAAGAAGGGGACGGAGCAGAGTGGGAGAGAGATGAAAGATTGATTTACCTACCAATCTTTTGTAGTGCCTTTGGGCAAGACCCCTTCATGCTCGCTCTCCTTCAGTGGGGCTGCCTTCTCCACTATTCTCAACAGCTGCTTTTGCTCTTTCCCCTTTAGTGCTCCTCACCACTACCATTAGTTGGGCTAGAGTAAGTGGCATGTGAACAAGCCGGTTACAATGCTGTAGAGGAGGCACAAGTTCGGAGTTATCTTCTCAGTGGGACTCTGGTGGAATGTGGGCCTCTGGCAGATGCCTACCCTGATCACAGGGAATGGTTTACCAGATCCCAGAAATTTGGGAGAAGGATATTGAGATTAAAGGTGCTCTGTCTTAGCTACTTCAGTGTCATTTGAGCTGAGACATTTGAAAGGCGTTTGAGGAGTTTGTGTGCAAGAAAGTTGCTTGTGTCTTGGGTACTTTCCTAATCGTTTATCCTTCCAACAAATCTTTATTTTTATACCAATACTTAATCCAAGTTTCGTACCCTTTTCCATTCCAAACCATTCAAATCCTGATCCTCCTAGATCCTTGTATCATTTCTGTTGCCTGTTGTGTCTTCTTGCAACTTGGTAGTATAGGGAATGTTGTCCCCATTCCTGTCTCTGCCACTGGATCACCTCCATTTTGGGATTAGTCTTATAAGTAAGCTTGGACTTTGAATCAAGTGTGCTGGGCTCCCCAATTTTACCACTGGTGCCATCATGTATTATTAAATGGTTCTGTCTCACAATCTTAATTGTGTCGTGTGGGCTTCTTACTTTGTTGTATGCCTATTACAATATTGTAAGATTATTACTATTTATAATAATAAATAGTATGTATAGTGTGTGTGTATCACAGTGGGTGGTGGGGTGTGCTCATGCATGTGTGTATAAACACACACTGCTGTGAGCAAGCTAGTGTGCACTGTTACTCTTAAGGAAATATACTCCACATATATTATTTACAATCAATATGAAACAGATTTGTGATGGTGGCAAATCATGTGGTGTCTCCTGGAGAGAAGGTAAAGCTATTACTCATACTGACATTGGGCAGTTGAGTCTGCACCATCCCCAAATCAAAGGTCCAGTGTTTACAGGATGGACCAGTTTGGAGCAGATGCAGCAGCTTCACTCCAGCTTAACTAATGGGACCAGTCACCTGCTGCTTGGCTTCCCAGCCTTGATGACACCTCTGAGTGAGTCTGACCCTTACCATGCAGCTGCTGCTTTTCTTTATTTGGTAAGTTTTTCATTTTCCTTCTGCTTTGAAATCTGCTTTTCTCCAGTGGAATGCCTGAACTCTGACTGCTCCCCTACCTCAGGCTGTTGTTTTGGTGCAGAAAGTCAACTCTGAAGCTCACGGCCCTTTGGCTATCCCAGTTGAGAGCCAGTGTGGTGTAGTGGCTAAGAGCATGGGACCGGACTCAGAAGATCTTGGTTCTAGTCTCCACTCAGCCATGGAGCCAACTGGGTGACTTTGGGCCCATCTCACTCAGCCCGACTTCCCTCACTGGATTGTGCTTGTGGGGATAAGACTGGGAGAAGAATCATGTAAACTGCTGTTATTTCTTTGAAAGGGGAAAAAAGTAGGATATAAATAAAGGTACCGTGCCTCCTGGAAATAACGATGCTCATCTGGCAAGAGTGTTTCTTACTCCATTAGCCACTCGCCCGGCCGGCCACCCACTGGCCTGCCTGCCTATTGCCAGGATGAATCAGTGGGACTTTGTAACCATGCTACCTACCTTTGTTTGCAGGGTCAAACATGCTACCTTTGTTTGGGATTCTTCATCCTCTCACCAAAACACAATAAAATTTGTCCGTGGTCTTAAAATCATTTTTATGTGTACCCCTTTCTTTTAATTTTCCTTCATAATAGCTTTTCTATTCAGGTTCTAATGTTCCAATCCTTTACTATTTCAATCCACTTAGACACTTGGGTGGTTCTGGGTTGCACTGCAGCCATTGCCCAGACTGCAATAGAAATTGCCTGGCAAACAAGTAGCAAATCTTTTTTTCCACTAGAAAACTGCAAAGCCATGCACATATCTGTTGGATTTTTGGCAGAAGGTTTTCCCATAGAAGGAACAACAATGACTGCAAATGTTATTCTATTAAAAATTGAAAATATCAAGACACTTTCTCCTAGATCAAAATTTAAAGCAGTCTAGTACCTCAAGCCTAATTATAAGATAGTTGGTAGAAACTTAGTGGTCCCTCAAAAGGAATTACTATTCCAGCAGATTTCAATCAATTTCATTAAAATTTAAAATGTTTTAACTATTTGTGGTTTTTCCAAGGTGGTCCATGAGAAGCATGAGTTTCAGATTTCTTGATTTGGATGTGACCCTAATTTAAACCAAATGGCCTACCAACTGTTCTGAACCAAACTTGTGACTATCTGTCTGTATTGTTTTACTGTGGTGGTGGTGGTGGTGGTGGTGATATAGAACGCATGCTGACACAAAATAACCCTATATGGGCACCAATTCAACCCACTCATCAGGACTGGGACAGCAAATGATTCACACGAATAGATCAACACCTACAAGTCCAACAAGAACATGTTAACGTCAGTGTGTAAATAATTGTTGCATGATTTGAATACATGAGTGCTACCATGCCTCACTTAATGAATTTTAAATTTTTGCAAAGTAGGGTGCATCCAGATGATGCCCTCCTTCCTCCCTTTGTTTCCCTGACATTCTTCCCTGCTGCTGTTTCTGTGGGCATTTTCCTTAAAAGCTATAAAACTGTTGAGGAGAGAAAGGTGGCATGGCTGCAGAATGCCTACTTATCGCTGGTGTTAGGAACTCTCCATCTGGAAGGAGCCCCAGTCTCATGCTTGGAGGACTGAAACTCCGACATGGACCTTTTGGACTGTGTTGCTTTCCTCTATGCAACATTTCTAAAATGACTGCTTGACTCACTGGAGTTTCACTGGTGCAAGAGGAAGGGAGCAGCACAAGGATTCCTGGGCTCCCTTTTCCCTCATGCAGCCACCACGGCATTGCAGAGAGAATGGCCAGCTCTCCACGTTCCTCCAGCAGGAAGCCTCCACTAGATCCCAGCTCCTCCCGTGAATACAAGGAGCTCATTCACTCACAGGGGGCCAAGTCTTGCT